AAAAACAGGGCCTAAGAACAATCAAGTATTGAAAGCCGATGTTGAACTTGAGCTTTTGGGATTTCTTTGAACGTGCAGTTCCCCCCCAGGACGTGAGTGAAGAGGACGTAGAAGCTTGGCAAGAGTTTCAAGTGCATGCAGCAACAGCCCGCAGTCCTGGTGCAGTAGTTGAGCGCCTTCACTGTCAAGCCCGAGTTTTCCTGCGCGTTTGCTCCGAGGATTTCGTTCTAGACCGTGCAGACATTCTTCGGGATGGAACGATCTCCAAGATGGAGTTGTCTCTTGGCTGAGCAGTCGGCGACTGGGCACGGCCACATCTTTCGGCTCCAAGGAACCAAGCAATAGCGGCCTGGTATCAGCGACAGAACATAAAAATCAGTGAGCGTGCTTCCGCATCTCAGAGGAGTACAGTGTCTCGGCGGCATCTCACTGGAGCATGGCTGTGTGAATCTGTCAATACTTCGCGCAAGACATCCTGAGGTGTGCGCTATACTCTGACGCTGTTTTACAATTAATGCTTCCCGGGACATGTGATAACTCCTAGCCCGTGGTCATATGTTTGGCTGTCCACAGCTGCTGCACAAAATTGACACCAAGTTCTCCGCCGCGTGTGTTGTACACGGTTCATAGATGTGCAGCAGCAGAGACCATGACTCTGTATGTTTGAAAGACCCATTGGTTCAGCAAGGTTGTGATAGCTGCATGGAATTGAGCAAGAAGCAGGCTTGCCCAGATGTAGGCCTCAGTGAAGACACAACCTTGACAATCAGACAGCGTCTTCTGCAGGAAGTTGCATGCATGCTTGAAGTATGCAGGCATGATTTCTTGCACGCTCGTGTTCTGCATCACGGTGCAACTAGCTAGTCCAAGGAGCCCCAGGGCCATGCGCTTGTTAGGGGTTGCACAGCACCCTGTGCTAACACTCCAATGTCAGTCTGAATGTGGAAGCTAGTCATGCGTTGAGTATGTGCGCAGCACTGCCATATCAGGACGCTGGCGGTGCAACTTGTTTCACTCGGTGCTGTAGCGCCCACGTTTCCTCCAGGTTGCAGCTGCAGAAGCACAGCAAAAAGACGAAGTTGGGGTAGGACAAGCTTGGTACGACTTGTCTCTTGTTGGGGCCCTATAGGCTGCCGTTGTCCGCCTCCTGGATTCCTGTGTGGAGAGGGTCCGACCTGTTGCTTTGGTCCATTCAATTCCCCGTGCATGTCCCTCCTCCGTTGCAATAGGCTGTGGCTTTGTGAGTTTCAGGTTGCCTTCCTGGGAGAGCATGCAGTCAAGACAGAACCGTTTCTTGCAGGCCTTGACCGATTACCTGCACAGGAAAAGAAAGGTAGGCTGCGTATTGCTACCAGCTTTGCATCGGCATTGAGTCTTCGTGGTGCGCTGTGTCATCAGACCGGTTGGGCGAGCAACCCTTGGACGCCATCCTCATCCTCTATGCGGTGGCCGAGCTTTCCTGAGATATCGATGCAAGGGAGCAGCTGGCAAACGCGAAACTACGAAGGACTAAAACGATTATTCAGGAAACTGGCGCGAGTGGAGCTGTGATCGGCCTAGTGCGAGCAAGCGCGTCACGTCTGGGGCCACAGCGAGTCTGCAGTACTCTACATGAAGCCTACTGGAGGTGTGTGCTGTGCTGTTATGCTAGCCCTGGGATGTGTAAAGGCAGTGTACCCAGAGCGTGTTCCCGCCCCAAATTTCCCGACGAAAGGGATTGCGGTTCCAGCACGTCCATATTCAGGGGGAAGTGATGCCCAAGAATCTTCACATCATGATGTAGTTTGAACATAAGCCGCTGTTGAACGTACTGCACCAGATGGAAACAAGCGAGGGTCATGACAGGTGAAGCAGCAGTACGCCCACAAGTAGTTGACAACCAATCCCTCGTTGCAAAATACATTAGCAGGAATCAAAAGTTGAGGCTTGCTTCGCCTGCAAGAGAAGGCTCAACCAAAGACGGCAGGCAAACTAAGCTAAAAGAACAGGGAAGGGAACAAGACATGAAAGGCAAGAAAGGGAATTCCGGCACAGGAAATTAGGGTGTAGTTCGAGCGCAGTTTCCACGCTTGAGGCGTTTAGCTTGAGTTTCGGACTTGTGTTTGGTTTTATAAGGCTTTTTTTAAGATATGTGGTTTACGGTTGCGCGTGCAAGGCTGAAGGGTGTTTTTCCCTCAGCCAATAAACTGACCCAAGACCCCTCGAAGCCCCGGTGACCGTGCTAGACACCTTGGGGCCAGAAGACTCTTCCGATCCGGCCCGTGTCGTCCCACGCCCAGCGGGGAAGTTCGATCCCATTCGCTGCATGTTTTTGCTTGCCTTCGACGGTAAACGCACTGCACGAGTCGAGAATGACGAAAAAAGCGCATGGCGCTGTTGGCGAACATAAACAGGCCCTGCCCTTGAAGTTTTGCGTCACCTTCGTGTCGCCAGCAATGAAAGTAAACAGGGTGTGCGCAGATCCCCCACTGCAACCCTGTGGTTGTCCCACACAGCATGGCTCAAGTCAGCCTGCGCCAAGACCGGCGCCGAAGCAGCAGCCTGAATGGAGACAAGCACCGCCTTTGTTTTTTTCTGATGTCTTTCGCCCAAGGCCGAGGCTTCAGGCCACTGGCATCCCAAACGGAAGGATGAAGACGTCACTTGACCAAGTTCTCTCGTGACATAGGCTGACCATAGCGGATCAGCTCATGGCTCAGGAAAAAGCCCATCTGTGCAGCGGCACAGGATGATTTGGGTGGGGCCCTCAGAGAAGATTATGCTGCGTAAGCCATCGGAACCGAACAGTTTGCTTCAGGTGGAGAGTCCTCGGACGAAGCATCAGAGGCTGGCAATAGGAAATAATCGTCAAATTCAGCCCGCGGCGCCCGAGTGTTGACAGGTGCAGGCCAAGCCGGCCAAAAGACCCACAGCAGTCCCTTCTGTGCCTAGTTGCAACCTCGGCCTCCAGTCCAGCCTTGAGTGAGATGCTTGAAGAGGGCATGCTGTAGCTTTCATGTTGTCATCTTGCCGGTTGTCGCTTCCCTTCTCAAGTGGCTCGGGGACGGTACCTGAGCCCCAATGCGACCTGCACCCAAGTTTGCCGGAGCCGGCTGAGAGGCCAACTTTGATCAGAAGCTTCGATTCACGTAGATTCCTTGAGTCTTTGTGTTTCTGCACCAGGCTCCAATGACAACATACCTGCTCTATGAGAGCTCTGCAGGCATCCAGGCGGCCTTTGGAGCTGAGCTGACTCTTCTGGCTCGGCAGCTTAGGTTATGCTTTGTTTCTCAAGAAAGAGTTCGAAGAGACCGCCGAAACAGAGGAGGAGGCGGAGTGGCAGAACAACCTTGCGCACCGTCCACCGCCAACTTCTGTTTTCAACAGGTGCAGAACTCCCTCCTCGACCCCAAGAAGGTGAGCAAGATTCTTTCCTTGCATGCATGGACACAGTTCCTCGGCAGATTTGGGTACATCAGGCATGCTTGCTTCCTGGGGCCTTGACACAAACCCTCCCTGGTTTCCACACATCAATGGAAACGACAAGCTACTGTAGAGCATCGAACTCAACAGGATGCCCATGCAGCCTTCAACAGCTTTCGTCACCACTTGCCCCTTGCTGCCTCTGCTCTGTGGAAGGTTCCTCTCTGTAAACCGACTCTGTGACCAGCTCTGCCGTGTGTGCAAGGAAGGTGCAAAGCACTGGGTGCGAAATAGCTGGAGTCGTCTTGAGAGAACATGTTCCGGCGAAGATGGCGACATGCATCAAGACAGATCGGCGACGGCAGTGTTTGATTAAGCTGATGTTGTGAGGTTCCGGGATGCAGAGGATGCACTGAACCAAGCGAACTCCATTGCAGCTGGCATCGCAACGGAGGAACTCGTGACTTGCCTGTGCAGATCGGACTTGGCTCCGGCCTGCTTGGAGTTTCGCTGAAGGTGAACTTCTTAGAGATGAACCTGCCAAAGAAGAAGAAGACCTACCAGCTCTGCCCCTTTGGTGTGTCTGGCGGCGACTGTTACTTGCCACCACGTGCCAGGCTGGGCGTCTACGATCCGGAGCTTGGAAAGGCCGAGGGGCCGGTTTTCTTTGCTTTACAGCTGCGACTTGGGCGGAAACCCAGGCTTTGGCCGAGCAGTTCCCGATTGCTCACGGCCAGTCGGTGAAGGAGAGACAGAGAGACAGAGAGAGTCTTTCTCTTTGTGTGTTGGCTCTCCCGACCCTGCCACCGATCCACCCCCCCGCACGTTCTTGTTTGGATGCGTCAGGAACTGCTGCGAGGCTGCCGCCTGCATTTCAACCGCTTGGTGAAGGATGCTGATGCAGCGTCGTCGACTTCCGTTTCATGTCGTCGCTACAAACCAGGACCTCAGTGAAGGCGATCTCGACAAAGCTCGGCTTGGACTGGGCCATGCATTCAGCCGAGCACGAATGCAGCTGGACCCGAACAGACAGGACACCACACCTCGAGTACTTGTGTCCAAACGGTAGCTAACACTACTGTAAGAGCTCCGGGACGAAGAATACGACGTTCGGTGCAAAGTGGGCAGGACAAGCCCATCATGAACACCATCGCCTTGCTGGACAACCTGGACAAGACGCATCCTCAGCCTGGCGTTGCCAAGTTTCCCAATGAAAGTTGCAGAGCTTGTTATTGTCAGCAGCTTTAGCTGAGGAACATCAACACCTTTGCAATGCGAGTTCGGGCATCTTGCTGGCAAGTTTTCCTAGCAGGTCCCGACAGGTTTGAACATATCACAGGAACATCTCCCGAAAGGCCCCGCAAGTTCCCCTCAGCGTCTGTGCCGCAGGGGAGGGATGCGGTTCCTAGGAAGAGGAAGGGAACCCTGAAGCGCTGCCGGGCCCAGGAGTGGTATGCGTGGCACTTCCCGGAGCTCACAAAGATTGTCACCGACAACATCGCCTATGCAAAGGTCTCTCGAGTTGTCCGGGCCACGTCCTCAAGCCTCCCGCTCGGCTCGAGCTTCTCACATCTGTCAACGGGGCTCCTGCAAAGGGTTGTCTTGCCCATCTCTCGCAATTTGGGTTTGGTTTAGGGTGAGGGCTTTGTGTTATATTATATTGATTGTATTGTATCTTCTTAGACTTATATCATGTTATATTATATTATGTTTTGTATATTATATGTATATATTATATACATAATGTATATTCTAGTATATTATATTACATTACATTATTCACATGACGTCTTAACGGCAAGGTCAGAGACAACTTCGAAGGCCGGGCAAGTCAAAAGGGCCTTGCCTACTGTTGTGCAGTATCCGGGTAGTTCTCTAAATTAGGGTCCCCTTTTGAGGTCCCAATATAGTACAGAACCCTTATAAAACGGAAACCAAAAGAGGGACCGTAATTTAGAGAACTACACATCTGTCTCGCAACAGCAGTCGAAGTGTGTTCGGGAATCATGGGTCATGACATATCTCTATTGCTGCAGGCTGGTGCTCTAACAGTTGACACTACATAATGGGGCTTTGGTCCCTTTCTTGGACTGCCGCTGCAGTCTGGGACAGCTTTCTCGGTCCTGCAGAACGGCATCGCAAAATGGGATCTTGTGATACAGGTTCCTGCGACGTGTGTGGCCTGCTGAGAGGGGTGGGTGGTCGCACGATGGTGGGAACAGGAAGAGGGCCGCGCAAATGACCCGCAAGCTGCCATAACTGTCTAGCGCCTAGGTTGTGAAATCCCAACGTCAAGGGGCAGGACCTTTCAATGATCTTTGTCGCCGCAAGAAAGGTCTGTTTTGTGTGGCGCCAGCCCAAAGCCCTCAGTCACCGTCGCCGCGTCGCGCTGTCCGATGAGTCCAGCAAATCTTGTTTTCGCATCGGGTCCACAAAGATGAACTATTTTGGCTCAAGCAGACAAGCACCCAGCGGCACCCGAAGTGCAACAATGGCCTTCAGATAGCGGCGCAATGCCCCGGACAGTCTTCGCAGCATGGCACAGGCTCGGCGGCAGTGCACGGTGAGCGCCAATGTGGACAGGGAAGGCAGCGCCTGCTTCGACTTGAAATTCGTGCAACCGTTCAATGGAGTGTTGGCCGCTGCTTCGCTTGGCACCTCCTCGGTTTCCACCGAGTTCGCCTTGCGTCTGGACTCGGAGAGAGCCCGTCGTGGCTTGCTCTTTGGCACGGAGTTTGCCCGGCAAAGCAAAGAGCTCGCAGCCTGCGGCTATGTGGATCTGTGCACGCAGAGCTTGTGCCATGTGAGTGGCAAGTTCTGGAACGGTACTTGGCGGTTGACCACCGATTGGTCCTTGAGAGATCTGGATATGAGACAGCCTCAGCCTTCAATGTCTCTTCAGCAAGAGCGCCTTCGGTCCTTTAAGACCAGCCTCAAGGCTTGCCTGTCCTGGCCATACACTCAGTTCACGGCAGAGCTTGCCGGACCTCCAGGAGACGTGGCTTTTGGCAAGCTACATGCACTGGCAGAAGCAACGATTCGCCCAAGGGGCGACTTCTGGCCTTGGCACCTGCATCTTGCCGGCGTGATGGGCCTCCTTCTACCTGTTGGGAAGAGCTGCGCTCAGGACCGTTTCCACCTCGGGGGCGCCTCCGGGCCCTGGGCTCTCAAAGGCTTCGCAGACAACGGCGCGGAGCCCCGGGCAAGGAGGATGAGCGAGACTTTGCCCAAGGAAAAGGAGCACAATGCCTTGGGAGGTGAAGCAGTGGCATCGGTTTTTCTAGGTGCTTCAAGACCGCTGGACATTCCCTCTTTGGAAGGCCTTCGGCTGATGGCCTTCACCAGCCTTGGAGTCCTCCATCCCTCCGTGCAAAGCCTTTCGCCGCTTCGGGCCTCCCTGGGCTGCGGCCTTGTGCTCCCCTTGGGCCCGGGCATGCTCGAGCTCACCTTCACACAGCCAGTGCGATGGATGGAGCATGATGTTCGACAGAGATGGCAGTTTGGCCTCAGGCTGCAAGCCCTGGGTTGAGGCGCTTTCTTGCGAGACCATGGTTCCGGGTATGTTGTGCGACTCGCTGGACACGATGGGAGACTATTTCGAAGATCAGTCTGGAGACATCGTTTCACGACCCCAGAGATCCACAGTGAGCATATAAAGTGAACATTTTGAAAGAGTCGGCGCTGAGTTGATGCAGTACATGGGCACAATGTTCCCATGACAAAGGGATGTCTAAGTGCGACCGGCATTGAGAGCACTGAACAGCCGCTTTGGTAAAGTGTTCCCATTTAAACACTCTGTGCCTACTGCACCCTAGCTCTCTGCTGTGGATTGCATTTGAGACGTCCCCGTAGCAATCTCAGACCCTCCAACGCCATGCCAGCCGAGTGCGAGTGTGTGAGTCGAAATCCTACGCAGATTTCGTTTACGGGCACGCAGGAAATCCTACCGGGCTTGCCCACCAGGTGACAAAGAGGCTCTAACAGAAGCCTGTGGATCAGAAGACGTTGCAGATGAAATCTTGATGCTTGGCTGTTAAGTAAGTTGCTTCTTTGGCCATGATGCCCCAGGCCTCCACTTCTGTGCATGTCGTTGCGGCACAAATTTGCCGTTCTCAGGAAAGCGCTGAAGATGTCCATGGGGCAGGACCACATGGAGACATAGCCCACGCTCGTGTGTACCGGGAAGCTTGTCTCGCTTGCGTGCATCTTTAGGCTTCTGTGAACAGATTGAAGCTTATGGCATCCTCTGCTTGGAGGACATTGTCGAGATGGACATGAAGAACATCGATCACTTTGCAAGTGAGGTTATCAAGCTTGCAGACATGTGCCTGGCTTGCATGGTGAAAGACGGCCACTAATCAGGGCACGCATGGCATGCTGCTAACCCGCGGTCCACATGGAAAGGATAACCGAGCTGCTTGCAAAGCTTTAGCGGCTAGCGCGGCCCAGCAATATGATAGAAAGTGAGCTGAATCCCGACACGGCAGCTCAAGCCCAGACCAAAGGCCAAAGACCAGCAGTCTTCCAAACATCGCTCTCTTGTCCGGGCTGTTGGCCAGCAGGCACCCTGAACCCTAAGCAGTTCCCTACGACTTGTGTGCACCTGCTGTCGTATGCTCGCCCCTTCCGCCCCGCCTGTGCGAACTGGTCGCAAAGCTTTGTCTTGTATCTGGTCGCTGCTTTGTTGCTCGGCATTGCAACGGAATTCTCGACTAGGGTGATTCGGACACATGGCGCCTTACATTCTGGCACGGCTCGAATTCTTAAGGCCTAAGGCACGGATGCAAGCTCTCGTGAATATACGCCACATCGAAAACCTGAGCAAAAGGGTGCTAACAGGAAAGTGTAGCCACAAACATGCAGCCCGGCATAGCGTAGCAGGCAAACGGGCAGGGTTGAACGGAAACTGGTGCCTCCACAGTTTCCGTGCAGCTGGGCTCCGACGGGAATCTCGTCCCTGTGTAATGTTGTGTGTGTATATATACACATGTTCGTACATACTGATGCGAATAGTTGTGCATCGTGTACAGATCACAGAAGACCCTGGGGAGTTCGATTCATCACGAGCCTTGGCTTGTGTGTTGTGCCAAAATCACAGATGCCTGGGTGGTAAGCGCCCTGGCTCGTGTATTACGCCAAGATCACAGAAGAGCGGTGGGGTTACGATTTGTTAGGAGCCTTGGCTTGTGACCTGCATATTGTGTAAAGATCACAGAAGGCTGGAAGGTACGATTAACAATCTCAACAAGGCTCCTTGCGATGACTGATGACTGAGACACCTGTCGGAGCCACCCATGATGCAGATGACAATTGCCCCAGCCCCCTCGCAGGTCTCCTAGGAGAGAGGCAAAAGAGAGAAGTGGAGGGGCCGAGAAATGCAAAACTGGCCTCCACCCCCTGCTCGCCATCCGGCTCGTATGGTGACCAGAATCTCAGGCGAAAGACACTGCACGAGTACCTCAAGGCAACATGGAACGCAACGTGTTGCTTGTTTGGATACAGCTTGTGTGGAGACGTGTGGAGACTCATATCGATGAGTCCCACGAAAGCCTCGAGATTCCGTTTCAGAAAATCTTCAGCTTCAAGCTGGTCGGACTTTTTGGATGGGGTGTTCCAAGCACGCTTGCCCCTTGGAGGCGAAGATGGACTTGGTTGCCCCCAACCTGGCGGCATTGATCGGTGAGATCATCGGAGCGAGACTCATCTCTCATGCAGGCGCTGGTTGTTAGGGAAGGAGCCCATTTTTTTCTGGATACGCTTTGCTGAGCTTGCAGGGAGCCTCACCAACCTGGCAAAGTACCCGGCTTCGACAGTCCAGATCTTGGGCGCAGAGAAGGCGCTCTTCCGCGCCATCAAGACCAAGGCCCCACAAAACCTGATTCGCTCAGTCCTGTTGCATGTCAAGCTTCTTTGTTGGAATGCTTCTTCTCTGCAGGGCAACACTCCAAAGTATGGCGGCTTGACTTGTAAACTTTACCGTGTGTCAAGAGGGATTAGTTTCAATGGCACCTGTTTGTCAAGAAGGCGGCTAGCACTGTCAGCAGATGCGAGGATTGATATTCCACTCGACTTTCATTGGCCGTGCGCAGCAGAAGAACAAGGGCCGAATATCTAGGCCGGGCCACGCATGCTACGACGCGTGATGGATGACGCCTGCCGGTCTGTGTTGCTCCCGTCATGCCAGTGGTTCAGCCCAAGCCCAGGTACTTGGCGAACAAGTGCTCCCTAGCATCCCGAATTGATTGCTTTTCTGACGAAGCGACCACTGTTTTCGGTGAGAAGCTGAAGGACCAGGCCTGCACGCGGCATGTTCCACGTGATTCCGGGTCAGAGCAAATTATGCCCACGGTGCTCTCCGGCCTGGCAGGTGGAGGAGCGGCTAACGTTCCTCTCCGAGGGCACCACGCCGCGCAAGAACCTGGAAGTCATGCAGGAAGCCATTAAGGAGGCTGGTGCTCATGCCTTCGAAGTGTTGTGTGTATGCCTCTACGCCTTTGAGAGTTTGGGAACAGTGGATACGGAAGGTGACGAAGCTGCGTAAAAAGAGGGCGAAAAAGGCGAAGGCTGCAGCGGAGGCTGCAGCAGCTGGTGAGGAGGTTGAGGAAGGAGCAGTAAAGCCCAAGAAGTCCTTCGGCCGCATTCGATCTTCAAGAATCGTGATGGGCCTCAGCTTCTTGGGACAGAGACGTGTGGGCCCAGGAAGAGACCAGCGGCCGAAGTTCCAGAGGAGGCTTCGATTCATTAATGTGGCCGCTTGGGCTCTCGTGGGAAGCAGGGGAACCATACTAATCAAGTACATGGTCGGAGCCAGGCAGAGGAGACGCCAGCACCAAAAAAGAAGAAGAGCCACAGCTGCAACTTGCACAATGTCCGGAAGTCGCCTTGGCCATAGCATGTCCTTTGGAGGAAGAGGGCTGCAGAAGCCGAAGAGGAGCTCACACGGTTGATTTTGTGTTCTGGCCAGAGGTTCTGGGCTTGGTTTGGACCGGCTTTGCTTCGGGTGTTCACGGCTTGCTCTTCTTTAGAGCATGTGCAAGAGGTGATGCAGATGTTGATGGTGATGATGACGACGCATATGATGATGATGATGATGATGATGGAGAGGATAATGATGACGATTATGACGATTATGATGATAGGGGCAAAGAGGACCATGCAGCACCCCTTCAACCGATGATTGACTTGTTGTGCAGTTTTAGCTATTCTGGGATCCTCTTATTCGTTGATTCATGTGCAGCTGACTTGATGATCATGGCCGGATAAGCTGCTTGCCGAGTGCCGCTTGACAGTGTAGGAACCTGCAGGAGACGGCTGCATCAGAGGCCACGCCCAAGCGAAAGAAGAAGGCCTCTGCGCGACTCAGCTGCTCCTTCTTTTTTGCTGTCAACCAACTCAGATGAACTTAAAATTGTACGGAGCATCGTCTTCTTACTTCCCTTGTGGTTTGAGGTGATCCGTGCGACGCTGCGAGGCATTTGTGAAAAGTGTTTTGCGAGCGGTAAGTCGCCAGGCAGGATTGCCACAGTTCTGCTCCGCAACAGACGGTGGTATATGCTTGCGCTGCACCGCTTTGCTTTCCGATTGTGTCGTATGTGCGAGACCTGAAAGGAATCGCACTTGACTCGACCATTTATGCAAAGGCATTGAGCCGTGCGATGCTCTCCCAGAACGGTGGATCCGGTTTTCGTAAGACGGAGATTTTTAGGTCCAGGCCGAAAGTCCCACGGATTGAAAATTTGAGACAGTGAAGAAACGTTCGCTCTGGCTGGATGAGCAGCCACGTTTCACTTTCATGGTGCCGGAGTCCTGTGGCAGTAACACTTTGTGACTGTGCCGGACAGAGCACAAGGCATAACCAGGCATTCCGGAATCATGTGAGCACCTGAGATGCTTCTGTGCTCTGGACATCTTTGTGGAGAGATGAGTTTCGGGCATACTCGGCCTGCAAAGTGCGAAGAAAAGCTCAGTGACTGGTCCCGCATGCTCCCGTCCTTATGCCTATGCAATGTTGCGAAAGCGTGACGGATGAAGAAAGCTTCTGAACCAGGTCCAGAAAGAAGGACAGAAGACAGTGGAGCACCAGGCTGTTGCGGGTTCTCCTTTCTCTGAGGATTTCCTAACCTCTCCGAAGACTTCCTTTCAACGTTTTCAAGCGAGCCGCAAACAAGGACACAAGGCAGGCTATTCATGGGTACTGACGCAGAGATCCTTTCGAACCTCCATTGTGCCAACCCCCTCACTCGTGCAACAGATCTGCCAAAACCGAGCTGAGAAGACCAATATCGGGCCCAGGTTTGAGCAAGCGGTAAACCGTGAAGTCTTTGCATTTGACCGGAGCTTGCCTTTGCTTAGAGGTTCGGGGCCCATTCCTTGAGCAGGTCGCCACAGGAAGGACGGCCCAGGAAAGAGATGGAAAGAGGAAACAAGAGAAAAGCCAAACTTAGGGTCCAATGATACCTTGACCCTTTTAACAAAATCTCCGAGACCCAGCAAATCAGGGGAGGGAGCAGTCGGCTCACCCCTGTTGTTGTGCTTTGAAGGTCTGCCTCAATGTCCCCTGGTGCCAAGACGATTGCGTTAGATTCCGTTAGACAACCGCACGCAGTCACGCACTGTCTGACTGAGAGGAGTATAGTCGTACAAATTTTACGGCATTATCATAACTGAGCTTATGGCTCCGTCGAACTGCATGCACAACCCGGCATGGCCCAGTCATGTCCAGTAGCGCGACTACCAGTATCAGTCGTGTCCGAAACTATAAAGAGCATACTGTCGTGAAACATCTGGCAGTACTGTTAGCGGCTCCTCTCGCCGGAAAGACCGCATGGGGTTGTGTTGCTCCTTGTTTCCACTGCTGCAGATGCCAAAGAAAGCAAGAAGGAAACAAAAAGGACTGGGATGCAGCCGGCATTTGAGAAGGGCCCAGAGGTTTCAGATATATCTTCAGGTTAGCGATGCACATAAACCCGACTTCAGGAAGAAGGAGAAGGAGTTCGCGTGGATGGTCGGTACCCCAATCAGCTTAGCGCTGCGTCGCTTCCGGCTCATGACACACCAGGAGGTATGCATGGGTACTGCAGAATTTACGGGGTCTGCTCGCGCATTTCCAAGTATGCTCTCAGGCGCTTGCCGCTTATGCTCCGGTTGGCATGACTCAGGACTCCGAGGAGGAGGGAGATGAGGAGGAGGGGAATGATGGTGATAAAGGCATTGCCGGTCGGAAATCGCACAGCTTTTGGTGTCCGTTTGCATATCCTGGTGCGTCTTCCACAGTTGCAGGTGCTGAGAAGGCAGACAGCAAGCCTCGAGAACCCTCTCGATCGCGTTCACGCCAGCGTGAAAGATCCAGGTCCAGATCTAGGTCGAGACGCCGAATTTCACCTGCAAGCAGAAGCAGATTTTGCCGTTGACCTTGGCTGTCCGACAAGCCCGCAAACTGAGGAGATCGACCGAGGGACCGCGATAGGGAGAAGGATAGAGAGAAGGAGAAAGAGAAGGAGAAGGAATCTGCAGATGATGCCAGGGGCACGGCAGAAATTGTGCAGATCACGCTTGTTGTGTTCTCGATGCTGTTGACAATCCCCACGTAGCCAAAGAAGCTCTTGCCGTGCACCTTGCCAAGGATGAAAATGCCGATGTCAGTGCTGAAACGCTTGACGAGGCCTTGCGCGTAGAGTCTAGAAATACAGCAGTTAACAGACTGACAGAGATGCAGACAAGGCACGTCAGAAACGCTTGCCGGGGCTTGAGGTAGAAGTTCGTAGAACACCCTGCCACCTGCACGCTACTACCAAAACATCAGCACCGCCAGGTTGCTACCTCCAACGGTAGAGGCAGCAGCGGCAAAAGCAACAACAACAGCGACAGCCGGCAGAGGCGGCAGCAGCAACAGCCGTCGTGGTGACGACGACAGCACAGAAAGCGAGCTTCGATGGCGACGATACCGACGCAGAAGCATCAGACCACAAACCGTTGCGGGGGTCACCGACTGCCGTTTGTCTTTGCCGCTTGAGACATAGAGTGCAACAGCGCATAAGCCGACTTGGTACATCTATCACCTGTCATCAGGTGCAGAGCTTTGGGAAAATGATGATCTTGGCGCCGGCTTTGCTGAAAAAGCTGCGCAGGACCTTCTGGACGAACATCTGTCGGTACTGGCACTGCATTGCTGAGGTTGTTTGATTCTTGAAGTGCAGAAGCGAGGCGGTACTGGCACGTGCACCTGGCCAAACAAACAGTGCCTTTGAATTGGCGATGCTCAAGCAACATTCGTCACCAGCTCTTTGTCTGTCCGAAAGGCCAGGAGCATTCGGAGTCGCCAACAAAGGCCAAACAAGTGCGAAAACGTGCCAGCAAATGTTCGCCCAAATTTTGTTCTCCGACAGGATATTTCAATAATAGATCGAGTTCGATGACATCCAGCCTGGATGCTTCTTTAAATGTTTGCATCAACCGTCTGGTGACGGGTTGCTGTTCGTTCCATATCAGTCCTTTTAGAGTGCTTCTGGGGCAGACTGGCGCATAGAACGGCCCTTGAATCACCATGGCTCTGACGAGCCGCAGCTGCACAGAATCGTGCTCGCTGAATATGCTGTTCTCTGAACTTTTGTTATTCCAAAAATCTTGTGTCGGGTTGTCTCTCCCAGACAATGTGACTTGATCTGGCGCCTCATTGTCATGCCAGAGTGGGTTCAACTGAAACAGCACGAATGCATGCACACAAATACGTGGCAACATCCTGCAGAGATTGCTCTCTAGATGGAGGAAGCTACTGGACCGCACGAACCTCGAGTAAGATTAGGTGTGTGCTGTGGGGTTGTGCTTGGGGGGACATGGGTTGTTATATAGAAAACAGGTGCCCAAGAGGCATCGCAAGGACCTACAGGGGCTTCTAGATGTGTAGAGCACAAACACAGTGAACCACCAGTGTAGCCGAACAACGTCGAGAGACACAGTGAAGCGTCGCTTCAAGATGTTACATGTTGCAGATGCGTATGACTTGATGCAAGGATGTCGCCTGAGAATGTTGCGGCTGCTTGCAGGGCCCCAGACTCAGTGATGTGCGATATTTTGAAGTGCAAGCAGTGCAAGGCTGTTAACACATGGCCTTGTCAGCATCTCGCATATGACGTTGAGGCGATGGCAAGGACGAAGTTCTTCGACGGCGACATCTTGAGGGACCCGAGCTTTGAGCTAGCGGCCTTTTTAGAGGCGAACGGGTTAGAATATCCTGGCAGGATCTGAACGATGCTCGGTGCCCGGAGATGTTGGATCTTGACATGCAGACAGCAACAGCTCCGGCCATGCCATCCTCCGGCCATGTCTTCGACCTCGCCACCTTCCCTTCTCGGAAAGACCACAGCCTCCCCTACCGCCCTACCATTCAAGTGGGCACGTTGCTTTGCGTTTTCTGTTTCTGCCCACTCTCGCTGAGGTCCTCAAAAGATTATTGCAAAGAGATCAGCTCTCTTCAGCCCAGGTGAATGCACGTGCCTTGGGATGGGTCATGCAGTGCCTTGGATATCATCAGCTTTGTTGCAAGGATGCCCTGCAGTGCCTCTGGGAGATAAATGCTTACGACCAGAACGTGCGGATCTCAGCATGCTAGCTGCTGGAGTATTTGAGACCTTTGGACGGACGCCGTTTCCTGTTGCCCAGGTGCTCAGTGCCATTGCATCAACTTTCAAGGCCTTGGTAGTCGAGAGTGCGACAAGACGTGGTTCCTTAGGGTGACGACATGCCAGGGCAAACTTGCTAGCTTGGAGCCGATCTACAGACAGACCTGGCCTGGGCCTCATGCGAGTTCGTAGATCTCCGTTTCCTCAGATTGAAGACTCCATGCAGAGATAGATTGGCGAAGCAGAACTTGTTTAGGCGAGAAATCTTCGAGGGTTTCAAGCCCGAGTCCTATGTGCCCGTGTGTGCTTCGTCGCCGCAACTCTGACAGTTCTTTTGCAAACTTGTTGCGTGCGTGAGACTGCTCAAGAGGCACGACAGGGACAAGGATTTCCGACAACTGCAGCTTGGCATCAGACGCTAGTGACTAGAGGTACGTCTCGAAGGTTCGATTTGAGATGGTTCGTCCACTCTTCGTCTTGTCGCCCGAGGTTGGAAACCCCTCCCCTGACAGCAGTGCAGCCTTCAGAGTTTGAGTTCACTGATTCAATTTCGGGAATTGCGGAATGTCAAGGCGAGCCCGGGGTACCAGAAAATTCGGTCCATGCCTCAGGCTTGAGACATGCGCCAATGCCGTACGCTGTTGCTGAAAACTTCGCCTTGCGGAAACCGAGGTGTTTTCACCACTCAAAGGGCTTTTGTGCCGTCGGTGACAAGGCATGGCTGTGCGTCGGGTCACTCGTACAGATGGAACCGGAGTCTCGACCGAGCCCTGCTCGCAATTTAGGCATGCACTTATTCACATGATCCGCGAGCACCTCTGACTTTGGAGATGTTTTCGGTACCTGTGCAGACCTCGGCATCAAAACAAGAGAACGGGTTTGCTCACCTTCTGCACCAGTTTCCTTTGCCTTGCTCCTGCTGATGTAGCTGGATCTCAGCCGAGATGCGTGCGTCACCCCTTGTCATGACGCAGAACCAGTACACCATGGGTTCACCCCTTATGCACGAATTGATGTTGTGAGTGCCTGTTTCCTTCGCCCCTTATCAGAATCGTTCCCCGACAGGACGCACGATCTATGGTGGAGCCCGCAACGGCCAATTCGCGGCCTGAGAAGCCTGACCCCGTAGTTGTAGCTGCCATTCCACGAAGCACTCAAGCCCGCCGTTCTTTCAGAGTTATCGAGTTCGTGTGTGATCTTACCTTTGAATCTGTTGCTCATCACAGACCCGTACACATGTTTACCTACCAACTTGGTTCAGTATCAACGCAGCAACTTGGAGCAGAGCTGCAATTGTCAGTATGCTCTCTCGGTTTCACGGCGGCTCGACAGCCTGCCGCGCAGACGAATGCTGAGGTGACTTATGAAGGCCAGCTTTCAGCTGCCTCGGCCTGGACAACTCGGCTTGCGACCAGCGGACTAGCGACAAGTGTTTGTCACAAAGCTTCTGTGGACAAAGGAAAGGATTAGAGCAATGCATGCATGCACCTTGCATGGTCTGGACTTTGTTTGGACTCAATGAGTCGAGATTCGTCTCAAGTGAAGTTGAGATGCGCCCATCCGTTCAGTTTAGCAGCAGGAAAGTCGTACATGTGGAAAATGACATGTGTGTCTGCATGCGGGGACTGGGAATGCTATGCGAAGTAGCAATCCTAGCACTGTAGTTCGCTGCTGGCACCCTTGACGATCAAGAAGCGACTGCGCAAACCTCAAGCCCAACTATACTCCACAGTGGAGAGAACAGCCGGGAAAAGGCACACCGTTCATGCCCAGCTCTGCTCAGCTGGGGCCGCTTGCTCCAGCGATGGTACCAGCCTGTCCCAGAGCACAGGCATAGCATGCCTTGAATGCAAAAACCAGATGCGCCACTCCCAGTTGCTTTGACTTTGTTCGATGCAGCCGTGCTTTGTCATTCCACGTGTTCCAGTATGTCATTCGTGAGGCCAGAGCGCCCTGTTGGCGACAACTGCATGTCCGGGTCGCTCTGCTTGTGGCTGTGCTATTTACCCTGACCATTCTTCTGGCGTCATGGCTCAGTTCAATCTTGGAATCGTGGAGATTGAGTCGCTTAGTGTGACAATACAGCCTCGTGGACATAAGGCAAAGAAAGACTTCAGGGCGGCCTTGGACATTGGTTCCCTCAAGTTGATCCGGAGGAATGATTCGGAGGTGCCTGCGACTCCGGAGTTCTTGGGCAAGAGATGCTGGGCCAAATTTGCCGTGGTTCGCGTCCTGCGAATATAAACAGAAGGGCTTTTGCTGCCATTCTGAGGACCCCCGCTGAATGCAAATCGATCCGTTCCTGGGACTGGAGGAAATCTTGGATCGGTTTTTGCACTCTGGACGTAGATAAGACGAGGCGCGGCCCTTTCGTAGCTTGCAACTTCTGGAAGACGGCTGAGGAATCCTTAGTGCTTCCAACGTATGCACCTGCAGCTGACTTCCGCTCGGAGTCCACAGATGTCTCTGTGAATGCCTCTGGAAATCTCTCGGCGACTCCTTCGGCAAATGTCTCCGCGAATGTCTCCACAAACGTCTGGGTGAACACTTCTGCCAACACGAGCGCGAGTGTGAAGCAGAATGTCTCGACGAGCGATCAGAGGCCAGTCCCTGATGGAGAGAAATCCGGGCTGAAGAGAAGAGTGCTTTCTGTGGGTACCCAGGCCAGCCTGGCTGCCGGCGAGGCCCAAAAGCCCGGCCCGGGGCCACGGCCCAAACGCGCAGCCTTCCTGTAAGAACGGCCCTTCGGCACTCTGCTTGGTGGGAAACATCAGGACCGGATATATCGAAGTCGAAATCGTTCAGTCGAGTCCGAGTTCCTGCTTGTTGAGGACACTCCCCTACACCATGGCTTCCATTGAAAGATTCGCCTTGGAGAACTCCTTAGATGTCTACATGGTGCTGCAACGGGGTGCCTTGTCAAATTTGGCTGTACGTCTGCCTTTTGGACCTGATGTGTATGTTGGTTGTCGCATGTTTCATGGCTACGTCTTCCATAGCCTTTCCGGAAGTATCATGAATCATGATGTCATGTCGAAGCGATGCGCTGGATTCGCGGTGGTACTTTCCGAAACACGGCCATCCCCTTTTTTTAACATAGCCTTAATTATCGTGTGCGCGCAATGTGCAAACAAGCGCAGCAAAGTGAAATGCATCTCGGAAGAAGAATAGAGGGAGAATCCTTTTTTGGTGATTGCTAGGGAGGCTTCCAGGAAAGCCGGATCACACGAGGGTGCTCCGAAAGCTCTTCGAAGGCTTCGCTGCTTTGCACCTTTCTTCTTGTACCATGTCCGCGCAGATGCTGCTGGGCCTGCTGCACATTTTCCCTAGATGTCACACATTTTCTGACATTGGTGGCTCAGTCTTCTTTTTCTACAGGGGTCTGTGTGGGTGGGTCCGTGCGTGCGGGTCTGTATGCGGGTCTTAGCGAAGTGTCGAGGTTGCCAGTATTCCAAGTATATGATATGACAGTCGCAAAGGTCTTTCGCGGATGATTTGGAGCGTCATGCTCTGAGGGTGCTTTTTAGAAGCTTCGAGGACAGCGGCACCACAGGAACTCAAGACACGTCTGATCTGCGGGGGAACTTACAGGATGAGAAGTTCGATCAGAACTCGAAGGGTGCTATCGAAGCTGTTGGGAAGGTTTCGGAAGATGCAATTCGGAACGACGCTGTTAGGGATTCCTCCGAGAGTATTGGAACGGTTTTTAAATTTTGGTCCGCCTGCCTGCCCGAGCCATCTTGAGTCGCTGTGTCTTATGTTCGTCCCCTCCGGTTGTCAATCAAACGGTAAGTTTGGAGACAGCGGGGCAGTTTTGCCACAGAGCTAGCGACGTCGGAGTTGGTCCAAGAGCAGTAGTGGAGAAAGCCGGCCGCGGGTTCCATGGCGTGAGCCCTGCACTGCCCAAGCCATCAGGCCAGAAGAGGGGCTCTTCTTGGTTGACGTATGCCGCGAACTTCTATGGATCTGAGGCAGAGGCGACGGTCACTGAAACATAGTTCTGCGCCCCTCCACTGTTTCGAGCCACACAGGACATGACACGCGCACACACACACACACACACATTGTGCTTCCTAGCTTCACAGAGCACCTGCCATCTGTTATCCAGAAAAAGCAGCTGCCAAGTTTGAAGGGGGTTTTCCATTGCCCTGCATAATCTTGTCGCCGGGGTCAAGGACAAGATCATACGAAAGCTCCGAAGTATGCGCGGTGCGTCCGACGGGGTTCAGATTCGCGAGATCATTGACGTGAGCGACGGCAGTTGCACCGAGTATCGAAAGAGCTTTCAGTCCAGACAGAAGGTGCCTTGGACAATTTGTTGCGCCAGTGTTTTGTCTGGCAAATCCTGCAGGTCTTGGTGGGTGGAAATCGGCCATAACACCGACTAATGTTCTGAATTGCCTCCTTAGCAACATGGGGCTACCGAGCTTGTTTTTTTTTGCCTCGGGATCGGTCGTTGCAAGCCTGGTGTGCAATGCGGGACATGATTCGAATACTCTTTGCAGTTGGGGCACATGTCGGAGGTGTTCAAGGAAAGGGTTGCAAGTGTGCTGCACGGCTTTCGCCATCTGCTAGTGCATGCGGAGTGGTTCCAGAATGCATCCGGTTTCTTTTGAGACAGGCTGTGGTCCGAGAATGGGTTGAGTCATGCGTGCTACAGCTCCTGCTTATCGTGGTGCGAGCTTCAACAGAATGCAGGAAGCTTCATGTGCCCTCTGCGCTTTCCGTTCGCCCGCAGGTCTTGAAATATTCTGACTGCAAGGAGCACGCGTCCAATTCCCAGATCCGCTGGTTGAGGACCGCACGAGCTGATGTGGCTTGACTTCGGATGTGAGGGTGCGATTTGAATGCTTCGACGACTCTCGCCCTGGTTTGCTTCGTCACGCGCAGGACCTGCTTTGACCGCGTACTTGCCAGTGGAGTGCAATATGGCACCTGTGCGGCCAAGTGTGCGTTTAGCCTTGGCAAGTGGTAGAGCCGTGTTTCACGGCGTCTCTAAAATTCGCGCCTGAGGTCGCATCGTCCGGACACGACCGGATGTGGCGTTATTTCGTGACGTTCGTCTTTCCTCTTATCCTTGTGGAAAAGTTTATGTCCCTTACAAGAGTGACCCCTCGCCGGTTGCCGGCGACTGGTGTCTTGCATGCAACTGAGCACTGCTAGTCAAAGCGTGTGCATACAGGCAAAGACCGGTCACTGGCAGGTTCTTCTTCATGGACTTCACGCTGTTGCAGAGCTGGTGGGCCACTGTCGAGGCTTCCATCGGTCGCATGACTGTCTGCCTGCACCTGCATTACTATTGCAAGCCGTCATCTCAGGCTGCCTCAACCGTAAAATACCAGCAATGGCCTTATCCCGACTACTACATCTTCAAGAATGCAGAGACTTGGCAGAAAGTTGTGTCTGTCCAGCTATTTATTCCCCGCAAAACCTCATCAATTTCTGGCGATGTGTTGGAAACGCAGCAGCTGTCAGCCCGCTTTCTGCGGCTTGGCCACCCAAGGCTTTGCGACGCACACACCTTCCAGCAGTCATTGTCCAGTGCCTACAGTTTCGAAGATAGTCTTTCAGGTTGTGCTTCAGGAACTCCTTGAGAGACGGTGACGTAAACGTTGACTTGGATGCACCCAGGTCCGAGCGCCCAATGTGGTGGAATGCTGCCGGCTGAGCCAAGATCGGGGCCAGGAGCACACGGAGGGAACAAACCTCGACCAGGCCAGACCATGCCAGACCACAAACTGGCATGCCGTAAGGGATGTGAGGTTTATGTTGCTAGTATCCCGAACCCTCACAGTGCCCGAATATATCTACTTTAGACCATATTTCAGATTGATGACAGCTATGACCATTCCCAGCTAAGGAATGCAGACGACTTCTTGCGAATGGGCACTTTGCCAAAGTTTGGCGTTCCTTTGACCTTAGGATACGCGAGACGCATGCGGCACCTCGGCTGAAGCATTCCATTTATGCACTGCTATGAGACACCTTTTTAAGGGCTGGGCTTTCAGAATCACGCCAAGGGTCCCCCCTTTGTGGGCTGCAACTCGGAGCGACAGGCTGCGATTGGGGTATCCAGCAAACAGCTGGCTGCAAGGATACAGTCGCACAAGCGAGCTGGAAAAAGCCTTATCCACCAACTCCTCACCGTTTAGACATCTGCCGCAGAGCGCTCCTGCTGGTTCCTACATTGCACTTTCATCGACAGCCGCATTTCCAAGCACGCCTGCTTCGACATCTGGCGAGGAACATTATGACGCATCATGCACCGAACCAGCCGAAGCAAAACACTCATGCACCACTCTTGGTACAGATCGGCCGAGAGTTTCGCAGTACACGGGAATCTGCTAGCATAGTCAAGAGTTGTTTTAGTTGGATGCGGCATGGCTTCATGCTGCCGTGTCAATCACCCAATGCGATGACCCGGCAATCCAGATGACAATTTGTACGGTCTCGCCGCTAGTTCGCATATTTGGGGCATGTCCAGGCAGTGCTGACAGCAGGGGAGAAGAGCACCAAGGCAGGAGCCAACCATTTTTGCTGTTGCCATCGCAGGTGATCTCCTCCAAGGAGGGGCATGGGCCCATCCAGCGTTGAGCCGCCGCACGGCGACTGAAGCAGCTCAGGACCTTAAGGAGTTGCTTGGTGTTGAAGTGCACGTTCGTTCACAGCAAGCAAAGGACGCGGCGGCAGGAGCTCCTGCAACACGGCAGAAATCAGCAGGCCTGTTTTGAAAGCTGGCCGCTGGCCTTTGTCGCAGTCCACGGGCATGAGCAGAGCGCTTGCGGGAGGCCGCCAGCTGTCCAAGACAGTGGCGCAGCTGCGGCGTGCCGCGTTAAGATGCAGCAGGAGATCCATTTGCATCCAAACTACACGAGCATATTGGAAATCAGATGAGGCAACTGCAGCCTCAAGTTAGGTCCGACTAGCTTATGCACTGCAGAACCTAGAGCTTCAGTTCAGTGATGCGTGCATTCACTGCAGTGCAGGCCCGCTGATTATGCTCCGTTGGTGCGTGCTATCCCGGCAGCCGAGCAGCTAACACCGAAGGTTCTGGTCCCAGTCAGCAGTCATCTGTGATACAGCGAAGGGACACGAAGACCTACGTCAGATGGCTTAAATCCTTGTCAGGACTTGGCTAACGCTCTGCAGTGAATCGCTCGGTCGCGATTTCAGGAGGAGCTGGGATCTCCTCCATGTCTCAGCAGCGTTGCCTCTGTTGATCTCTCTGTTGCCTGTGATGGGCTTGCGACCCGTGTAGAGCACGGGCAGACAGCTCCTGTATTGGGTTTTGACAAAAGGCAAAAACGGCCCGAAGCCCTCCCCAACTTCGTGCCAAACAGTTGTTGAAAAGAGAGCGTTCGAAGGACTTCACCCAGCCTTTGCAGGCATCAAAGGCATTGAGTACTCACAAATGTAAGGCTAGAGACTTTGCAGGTCTGCAGGGGGTGGGGGAGAGGGGGGTGGATGTTTGGGATACGTTGTCGTTTCCGGCAGGCTACTCCCAAGCAGGGGGCTGTCAGCACAGCTTTTTTCAGACCTTTGCGGCGTTACGAGGATGCTGCTGATGGCTGCCTGCTGGGGTTCTTTCTCAGGCGTTTCTTAGTGGGCGGTTCTTGGGTGCAAACGAGGTGATCATGGTGCTCTTTCAGGGTTGCCTGTGACTTTTGACTCAGGTCAAAGCGGGGCAGTCGATAGTCAACATGTGTAAGCACGAAAGCAGAACAAAGTTGCAGCTCCCGTTGGCACGGAAAAGCTGCACGTTGACAAATCATCCCAAGTTCCCTTGAGCAAATACAACCAGTCCAGCCAGCATTGCCGGCCGACGACATCGCACCGTGCGAGATCACTTGCAAACAACTGTGGCCGACAGACGCAATCAGTTTTCTCTGGCGGCTTCGAGTCCTCTGCCTCTGAGACTCTAAGATGTTGAGAGTTTTCAGGAGCAGCTGCTCCACCGGGCTGAAGGCTTCCGAGATTTGCAAAAGAGACCTGGATACCGGGCGAGCACGTGCCCGCAATCTTGCCAGGCGCAGTTTCAAAGAGTCTGGAGTGCCTCGACCCCAAAGATCTGGCGAAAACGGTTCGGACGACGGCAAAGGCCCGTCTAGGGGCAGCAGCAGGAGCATTTAGGAGCAGACGTGCAGTGAGCTGAAGGCATGACTGGGAGCCATGTCCACGAGTGACGACCGAGCGGTGGAAGACGTCAAATTCCGGATAAGGGAGCTTCAGGACCGCATTTGCGTGTCCCATAATTCGCTTCAATTGTGACGTGCTATGAGTTGATTCATCCAGGACTCGTCTCGGCATGATTCCTAGCTCAACAAACGACAAGAAATGTTACGGCCGGCCGTGTCTTTGCTGAGGCCCCAAGAGCCTGCAAACATTGCGCAGTCTTGCGTCTGCAGCTCAGTCCAGAAGCTGCTTTGGAGTGGAGCTTGATCATGCCTAGGCCACGCTGAGCTGGCGCAACGGAGCCCTTCCAGGCAGGAGGATTCTTTCAGCTATCAGCTATCAGTTGCAATGACATTGACGGGCCCGTCCAGGGCGCCAACGTTCAACGCCCTTTGAGGTGCCATTCCATCCTCCGCTCAATGCAAGATCCACTCACCCAATGCGTGCGGGTCTTGAACTTCATGCAGCAGTGTAGGGAACAGACCCTGGGCCAAAGCAAACCCGGTCGTGGCTGCAGGAAGGATCTGGCGAGCACGAGTTAGAGACTCCAGGCTGGAAGACCATGTAGAGACTGATCTACTATCTGGCCTGCAATTTGCTCCTGCTGCAGCTGAGGTGCCATCTTGGGCAGATGGGGCCTATCTGAGTCTAGTAGGCGGGCCGGGATGCTTCTTCACATTTTCGTGGGACCCTGTGCCCGAAGAGTGAGCTGGTTGAGGCGATGCATCTCTGCGCATCATATCAGGATTCAATCCGTAGGAGCTTGGTGGTGTCTGCTTGGGCCAAACGAAGACTTGATCAGCATTTGCACTCGCGAGGACTCGGCAAACAGGGCTTGGATGTATGCAGCCTAGGTACACAGGCATCTGCGCTGCAATAGTTGTGTAGGGGTTGTGCTTTTTTGCAGGACGCTGTAGCTTTTGCTGGGCTTGGGATGCCTTGATGTATGCAGGCCGTAAGAGTTTGGCTCAACATCTGCCCCATGTAGCATTCAGTTTCAACATACATGGCCTACATTGATGCCATTGACCAACCTGACCAACCTGCAAGAACCGCAATGCAATTGGAAGCAACGTAGCATTTCAACGCACTAACACACCGGCAGACTGTGCCAGAGCATGCGCTAGTGTATTTTCGTTTTGCCGGCCTGGATGCGAAACCCAACATTGCAACCCCATTGGAGACAGAAATGCGACATCTGAGCTATGCCACAGAGTGGGCGTGGTCTGACTGTGAAGAGGCAAGAGTATCAGTTCTTCACATTGGGAGGGGCGATGACTTCACTTCGTGACAATCTCACATAATATCTCAGGAGATGTCGCGTTTGTTGTTTTTGTTCAGGCTTGTAGAATGTACAATCTTTCTCGGCGTGGTCATCATCGCCGGGCTCTTGGTTCAAAGCTGTGAGAGCTGAGCAACTCTCAATCTTTGCCATGGCTATGGCTCATAGTAACGTTTACAGTGCCCTGAGAGTATCCCTTGTAGCATCCCTTATACCATCCCTTCTAGTTGTAATACCTAGAGATGGTTCGCCATCTCAAGCCCCAGAAGGTCTTCTCAATGCTGGAGACGATGTTCGGCCAGAACAGCGGGCTCGGACAGGCGAGGGAAAGCATAACTTCGAACAGCAATACAAATAACTAATACTAGTCAGAATAGTAGTAAACATGATGCCCCCAAACAACCAATAATAACAATCGTAAAAGTAGGGACAACAATGAGCATCATAATCAGAAGAGTAATAGTAGCACTTACAAGAACTACTGTACAACCCTAGCCCGAGGAGGCTAGAGTGACGCGGCTGGCAGGCTCCCATCCAATCCCAACAGCTCATGCTGCAGCATCTCGGACTCCCAGACACATCTCGAGTGCAGACTTACTGAGCGATGTTTGTTGCTGCAATGCAAGGTCCCTGCAGCGACGGCGAGAAAGCAGCAAGGAGAATTCATGAATCCGTCTGCAATTGTCCGTAGAAGCGTAGAAGTCGCCAGGATCCCTCCGAGGAGGACGACGAAGACGAAGATGGTCCCGCGGACGTCTTCAAAGAGCAGACAGTTCCATCCGAACCTCCGGCAAAGCAGGCATGTCTGCCTCAAGAAAAGTGAGTGGAGCTTGTGCAGCGTTCCATTTCACAGAAGCTTTCTCGCGTGGACGGGCTTGGCCTGCAGCTTCTCTTACTCTAGCCTGCTTTTGCTTGCTCTCATGACGTCATGCAGTTGGCCCAAACCTGGTGCAAGAGATCTTCTCCAAGCGTTCAGGGACGCCTGCTTTGTGTTGTTTAGGGGCTTGGTCGTTTGGCAGCAACCTGTCCGTCCTTACGGACTGCATCTTGCCGCTCGCAGCAAAGATGTGCATGCAAAGGTTGGGTATGCTCTTGTTCGTTTGTGCACTGCTGGCCCTCCCATGCAGCCCGGTGCACTTCTTCGGAACACATCTGATATCGTTTCAACCACTCACGCCATGGTTCGTGGCCCGAGTCCGATGTCTGACAAAATGCCGGTTTCCCTTTCATCTGGGATGGTAAAAGCACTTGGGAGCAACACCGGTGTCCAGAACGGAGCGATATGACGTGTTAGAGAACTTCCATCAAACGACTTTGCACACGCAGCCGCATGCCCCCATGTGTGGCCTGGAACGCTAAGAAAATCTGGTGCTATGACACTCGGTGGAACCAGTTCGTAGAGGCCGTCGAGGTGGAGGTTGAAAGTTGGCTGTCTCAGAGCTTCTCCCTGCGGTGCGGCATAAGACGCACCGAGGTTTAGGCAAGGGCTGGCCAGGTTCACTACCTCTCTGACTCTAACCTGCCCACTTCGTCGGGGCAGCCTGGGTTGGTGGAAGATGGATACATGCTTTGTGTGGGAGTGCAATGGGAGTCTTTACACTTCGCTCCCGTTGAGGTTGTGGAGGAAGCACGCTCCTTTTCGTGTATTCTTACGGAGCATGGAAGTGAACATTCTCTGGCACATCGGTGCCTTGAACTTCGCCTGGCTAGAACGTGAGTGAGCACTGAAACTCAAACCAGACTGGACTAGGTGAGGTGGAAATGGCATTATGCTGCAGTTTTCTGCTTGGAAGTTTTGGCAGAAGAACGGGTTTAGCCGCGTGCTAGGCTTCGGTTTAAATCCGTCATAGCTATCTTCCCAGCTGAATTCCTTGCTTGCTTTTAGGCATGCGGATCTGCAGCTCTGTCTCAAGAGGCCTTTGATGATACGTGCTGCGTTACTGCCTTCCGATTGTCGAGGCTGATGCTGGTACCCCAAAAGTTCTCAAGGATGATGGTGCTCAAGGCATGCACGATTCTGCAGACTGGATGTCTGACGTCACTGCCTCAGCAAGCCTTCACGTGCAAACTCGAAAAAAGAATCGCACGAAGTGCATGAAGGTGGAAAGCGATGAGCTTCCAGGGATGGAACCCGGGTGCGGCACCTGCTGAGAGAGGGGTGGGGTCGTGGCTCGTGGCTGCCGCTGAGGTCACCTTCCCTCGACCCGGCACAGGCTCGCACAACGAAAGTCCAGATCGAGCCTTTCAGGAACATCCCCTGGTAGAATCTGAATCAGTCTGCCAAGTCTTTGGGCTTAGGGTTTACGGCTTCGAGCTGGGCAGTAAGGGCAGCAGTCGAGTCCCTTGTGAAAAAAGGGTTTACGGCTTAGGCTTTAAACCGTGTCGTGTCTGCAGGTTAGCGCCGTTCGGCGAGGCCTTGGCTCCTGGTTATTGCGCGCCAGGAGCCAAGCTTTTCCTTTCCAGCCTGCCGAAGCGAACCGCCATCACTCTCAGGTTGCTTCATTCCAGGAGGCTGCCCGCATGCTGAAAGTGACGCTTGAGCTCGAGAAGCTTCAGATTGCAGGTGGAGACAATCCAACTCAGCACCAGGCGCATTTTGCAGAAGCGCTCAACCTGCAAAATGCAGCTTGTCACGACCCCGACGAGTTTCAGGTGGCTTGATGCCAGCTCCGCAGCAGAAGTCAACCGAGTGCCAGCCGACTAAGCCAGATGGCTGACAATTTCCTGTTCTGTCGAAGTCACATCGGCCAAGGCTAGACAACCTGCTACTGAAAGATCCCGAAGCTGGATGGGTAACTTGTGCATCCGAGAATGAGCTTTGCAAGTGTGCCAGCGGCCACGCTACTTTGCAGCACTGGCTGTCGACTTTACATTCTCCTTAGCTGGGCCTACTGGGGTGCAGCCTGCAGAATGGTTTCTGAAAGGTCGAACCTCTGTTCTCCCTTGCTAATCTGTCTGCACAGGTGCGCTACGGCCATCGACAAAAGGGTTGGTACACAAAGAAGGGTAAGGACACTGCGGAACAGAGCGTGCCGAACTAGCTTGGGTTTCGCATAACGCTGGAGGAGGAGATCGCCTGCTTGCTCGACAAATTCGGCAAGAGACTCTTCGGCATTTCTGCATGGCATCGTCCGATATGAGAGATCGTTGGTAGCCCCACAGAACTCTCATCGTAGTCGTTGTTGCTCCACGTACATGATACTGATTGCTAGTTGCATCGGTAGGAATCGTGTGGTTGTTGGTGGTCTTCTTGTTGTCGACGTCGTCGCAGTCGACAATTCGGTTGTGCTTTGTCTTTTCGTTTCTCTTTCGTCGTCGTCATCGTGGTGCTTTTGTCGGCGTCGTGATTGTTGGGATTGGGGCGCTGGTGGTGGTGCTTGTGGTTGTGGGGTGCCTCTGGTTGTGGTTGTGGTTGTTGATGTTGCTGTTGTTTGCAGTTGTTGTTGCTGGTGGTGGTGGTGGTGTCAGTGGTTGATTTTGTGGTCTCTCCCAGACATCTTGCCAAAGCAGTGGCTCTACTGGCAGCCAATGCTTCCTGGTAAGATTTGCGTTGGTTGGCAGAAGTCTTTCATACGCAAGTCGAGGACAGACATGGCCTACGGCATGCTGAAGTGCTTGACTGAGGAATTTATCGTAGCGTCGTAGCGAGTCCTGCCAGTCCAAGACGTCGTGGACTGAGGACATGCCAATGCCACGACCCACCTCATCGTGAAGTTGGCTGCTCTGTCGCAGTTTTGCAGATGATCAAGCCGATGCCACCTCGAACTGTTGTTGTCATGTAGCCGGAGGTGCTAGCAGTTCAGTATAGTTCAGTGCTGTGTGTCAGCACGAGGAGTGGAAGACCTTGCGGCACTGGTCCAGCTGCCATCAGATCCAGGAGGTAGTGGCATTGAGAAATCTCAAAGACTGGCTGGGCGACGGACTGTCTGGGGGCAGGCCGAAATGAAGCTGGTGCTGCTCCAGGCTAATGTTTCCGTCACATGCCCTTGCTAAGGAGCTTGCGGCACTCATGGTCATTGTTTGCGGGTTGTTGTCTTGATCAAAGATCTTGATTCTTCGTGCGGCGAGCCCTGTTGTTGGCTCCTTTTGTTGCTGGTGCTGCTGCTTCAACAATCATGTGTCAGGTCTCAACGGGCGTTTGCGCTCGCAGGGCTGTCTGATGTGCCTTTTGAATCCTATTATGCAAGAAGCAGACGCCAAGGCTAGCTGCTTAGGAAGCCACCTCGAGTTTTCGCGAAGCCGCCCGAACCAACTATGCCCCGAGCCGTGTGGTTTGATTCGGTCAAGTGCTGCGTCAGGCTAAATAGGCGAAACGCACCAAACATCCCAGCAACGGCGCGCAATGCGCTTCACGGACCGGCCACTGCGCGCTTCTGCAAATGCTTGAGTAGCAAAGTCAAAAGACTGTGTTTACTTTGAAATTGGCAAATGCAAGCCCAATGACTAGAGCTCCGTCCATCGTGTCTGTACTGTATGATGGCAACCCTCTCAACAGCGACCATGCAGCCCCCGATTTTTCTCGCACCGATATCTCCCGATTCTCCGCGGTGGAGGGGTGCAGCGTCTGCAGAACAACAAGCTGCTCGACGGTCCCTATTGCCTCCTTCCGACACGGGCTGTATGTCATTGTGACACTCGAAGCCCCAAGTCCCCACTTGCCTGAGTGATCTGTTTCGGGGCTCAACCCGGGACACATCCAGTCCTAGCGAGGTGGGAGGCAAACAAGAAAGGGGCAACGGAACCAGACGAAATAAAAGGACAAGACGAATTCAAACATCTCAACACTTGTATTCCAGAGTGGGGAACACTTTTGTTCGTACGTGCAGGCACCCTCTGGAAGGTCATCGATGGCTTAGTAGCATGGATCGAGAAGGTGGGGCACTAGAGAGACATGTCATATTGAATGTCAATGTCAGTCATGTGTCCTTTGCCTCACGACTCGTGTATGGTCCGGAAGCCGACCAGGGTTTCCATGCTCGATGTCACGGGGCGCATCTGTCCTATAATTCCTTGCTCCAGCCTGACAGGCCGACTCGCCACAGCTCTTGGCACTGTCCCGGGTCGGTCGCCCAGCCAAGAAGACTTCGCACTTGATCCAGGGGGTGCAAGGGAGCATCAGCACCTGAGTACTAAATGTGACGGCTGCAGAAGAAGCAGGTGAAGTTGAAGTGTGAACAGGTTAAGACGGAGAGCGAGAATACGCGCGATAAGACGTCTCACACCGAGGTTGGGTCAAGAGTCTAGCCAAACATGCCTAGACATGACCGAGATCGGCGCTTGCCGAGTGCGTGTGAGGCGCCTTGGTGGGGGGGGGGGGAGGGCCTAAGATCCGTAAGGAGAAGCATGTGGAAAGGAAACAGCAAAAGAGAGTGATCAAGTGAGAAGGGGTAGTCGTTCTGAAGTTGGCTACGTGCACTTCTGCGACTTGGTGATCAAGGTTTACCAGTGGATGGAAGGTAGCGGCGGCTTCTCAAAGATTGGGGCAGCAATTGCCAAAGCTGCAACAAAGGCAGCGAAGTCCTGCAGAGCATCACTGTCTGCCTTGCAGCGAATCCCGGCCGCAGGCCACCCTTGCTGGAAAGACGTGCGAGGCAGCGGGATGGACGCGGAATCGAAGCGGTTTTTCTGGGAGAAGCTGAGGATGGCTCCAAGGCCGAACTGAAGAGATGCCCGCAGTACTCGCTGCCGGCTCCCCAGGATCCTAAGATGTTCAGACCGGGCTTCTGGCGTCTCAGAACCTCAGGGAGCTTTGTCCGGCTGCTTGTGGGAAGCACCTCGATCTCCAAAAGCAGAAGTGGAGGCAAAACAGTGGATCTATCAATGCAGCTGCCAAGTGTAATCCTTCATTTGCTGGCTGCCGCTGTGAAGGGCTGGGCCACCAAAGGGAATTACAGAAGAGCCAGCAGCTTAAAGTGTCACCAAATACGCGAGAGATCGGCGGGAGGATGAAGATCGCAGGTGTCGCTCGTCCGGGGTGGCCCAGCTTTGGTCGTGTGACCGCACCTCCTCGAGAGCCCTGGGCCAAGATGCATGTAGAAACAATGTAGATCAGCTCGCCTTGAAAAAGCCAAGTGCAGGTGCCAGGGGAGGGGCACGCGCATGCAACGGCCCAGCACATTCTGGACCAGAGCCTCCAGGCACTCGCTGTGTTCTCCACACCAGACTCACCAGACATCGACGTCGAAGGCGACTGTACCTGTATGACAGGCAATGTGCGAGGAGACAGCCCTGCAACCTCTATGGCCAATCTCTCAGCATGGTCTTTACATGAAGCCAGCGTGCACTGCTAAGATAGTTGCGTGATGAGGCAGACATTCTTGGATTGTGATTTCTTGGACCAGTACCTCAGATGGACCTCCGAATCTGGCTGGGTGGAGGAAGCCTTCGTGCCTGAAGGCTTAGCTTCATGATACCATGGACGGAACAAGCCGCCTTCATGATGCGTGGGAGCGAAATTCTAGCATGGCCTCGACACTGCTGAGGACATACGTCGCTGGAGTGCAGGATTCCATCTATGCCCTGCAGGCGTCACATGCGGCACATGGCGCTTGTCTCGAGCTGTGCGCTAAACGTTCATGATGCTAGATGGGAGGCTACCAACCTTGTCCGCTCAATTGACCTCTTCTCCTCGAAGCCGGTTATCGTGGTGGCTAATTCCTCAGGGGTTAGTCGCTGCGGCCGCTTGCGTCCCTCACCCGAGCCGTTGTAGTTTGTAGCGAAAGCGGCTTACCGAAGGTCTTCGACGAGCAGTATATCCCACCATGGCAGTGGCGGCACTTCCCCAACGCAGCTTTGGTGGCAAGATGGCAACAGACTCTAAGCTGTTCACGCTTTGCGTCTGAGCATGGCATGCTTGTGAAGGTAATCGTGTACAAGATGCTGCCTCTGCCAGGAGACATTGGGGCTCTTCCGGTTTTCCCGAGCTTTCCTGGGCTTGCTTCGCAGGAAAAGCTGTTTCCTTCAACTTCAACAAGCTCCGTGCCATGATTGCTTCGCGAACCCTAGTGGCTGTTCAGCTGGACACGTTCTTAGATCATCCTGCGTGCCGGCAGTTCGGGGCTTGTTCAGAGCCTTCCGACATTGACAGGACACCGATCAGCTGATTGCGCCAGAGGTGGAGAGGCCCTGGGCAGCCAGCTCGCTCGTGCACGCTGACTGGTTCCTGCTTGTTGGTGCAGGATGTTTGCCGCTTCTCGTCGCGAGATCCACTCGCACTACCCATGGCCGATGCTGCCAGTCCACTGGATGCTTGCCGGCATCCAGCAACAGAAACACTGCACGGCCAGTGTGCTGGCATGACAGCCAAGGATGTCGAGAGATGTCCCGTCGCCACGCTTGTTCCGGGTTTTCTGCAATCTGGTCAAAGAAGTTGTGCTGACTGAGCCTGTGTGTGGTTTGGACGGGCCTTTGCACTATTTGGCAATGCTACCTGCTAGGCCAAGAAAGGAGAGCTTTACTCCGTCGGCATCTCACTGTCTGTATCTGTCTGTGTACACGCCGCATTGAAAGAGCAGTCGACAAAAAGATTACTCAGGATATGAACTTCGAAGGGTGGGCTGGCCAAAGGACTATGAGGTCAGAAGTTTTATCCTTTGGACGTCTGCCGGCCCCTCTTCCGGCAGGTGGGGTCATGCTCACCCGCTCCGACCTCGATACTGCTATGCGCGGTGTGCATATTGCAAAGTTGCAGTCTGGCCCAGGACATGGACATACTGGGCCTTACCCTTTCTAGCTGATCTCCTCCACGAGAGGCGTCAAGCGTGTCGGTTTTCGCAGATCGTTCTGTTTGCGTAGGGAATGTCTTGCTGGCGGTATTTGGCAAAAAGCTTGCAACCATGATCTGCGCACATTGAGGTGCATCAGCGGCTCAGCCATGCCGGCACGAAACCTCTCTTTTCGGGCGAACTTGCAGTTCTCTCTTGAGCCAACCAGTTCGACCCTCGTGATTAGTTTGACAGTCGCCATGTGCAAATTTACCGAGCAATGGAGATCAGGGTCCCTTGCAATGGGTTGCGTCGCATCCGAGACGGAGAACGCCCTGAGTTGCCCCTCTTCTGTTCATCACCCTATCAGAGGAGGACTTGCACGACACCGACAAGTACCAGGGACTGGAGCAGAACGCCTGTCTTTGAATCGCTGCCTGCCCACGATAACCGGGCTGCAAGACACAACCTCCCGACTGCGACAAGGATGTTGCCGGACTGTGCCTTCATGTCCACCGGTGGATGCCATCATCTGACTGCTCAAGCTTCGAGCGGGCAACCGGTGGCATCCACCGGTGGAGCGAGAACATCAGAGAGCAGAAGAGACCCGGAAGGTCACCTGGTTGGAGGATGGCCGATCTCCTGCCATCCACAAAGGAAGGCGATCACTGTGAAGGGGAATGCTCAAGGGAATGCCTCGTGAGGCGGGCGTGGGTTTCATTCACCAATACAGCACGGCCGCAGAGCATGGCGGCTGCTATCCTACACGGAAGACTCAGAGCGGAAAGTGCCTGCTGCTTCCGGGAAGTCGGATCAGCATTGCTGAGTAGAACTTTGAAGATGCGTCCTTGGCGGCAATCGCTAAACTGTAGACCCCACTTGCAGTTCAAAGAGTTATGCTTGTCAACGTATACGGTATACATGATCAGATCACAACAAGCAGCCGCAAAAACATGTAGAAACAACATAAACTCATAAACCATGAGTCTTGAAGCTTGTGTTTTTTTTTGGATCTTTGGCTCCAGAGCCGGCGGAAAGGACCAGGAGACAGTTGGCTGAAGAGCCACAGAGCCACGGTTTAGGGTTCTTTAGGGTTTAGGGTTTAGGTCACAGAGCGTCACGTCTTCAGCGGCCTGGAGAACTGTAGCCGGCCGAGACCTTCATGTCTCGAAGGACTTGGATTGCCCTGTACATGGGTGCCTCTGGATCACAAAGCCGTTTGGCCGAACTTGGCAGAAAGCACTGCCGGCTTCTTTTGCTGACCTGGCGGCGACTTTGTCACCCTGTCAGATTATCCAGCACATTTCGAAGCTCGACGTGACATCTGTAGTACTCTAGTCTACTAAGCCATTGAATCCTCAAGCCGTAAGCTCGTAAAGCTTTAAGTCTAAATCCTGGACAGTCGTACATGTGAATTTTGAACCTTCAGTTTTGAAGCTTTAGTGATGCGAGCGCCAAGGGTTCTTGCTTTGAAGTCGTCTTTTGCTTGAGTCTACCGTTGGTAGAGGGCCCATATCCAACTCCGCGGATAAAAGATTGTATTCGGTTGCCAAGCCGCCGATCCAGGGTCGGCAATCCTCCAAGACGCTGAATCTGTCCAACACTAATCTCTACAAGTCTTAGACCTGTAAGGCACTCAAGTCAAGACACATCCCAAACCGTGCATACTGTTTGGACTCTCCTTGGGACATCGGAAAGAAGGCTGCCCTGGCACATCACTCCGCGCAGTCGAGGGCCGTGTGCTGGAACGGACATGGTGGACCAGTCGCCATTCCTGACGTGACGGCAAGTTGCAAAATGCACCTGGATCGATCCGGCTAGCTTCATTCGTCGCACGAGCTACTGTTGACTCCTGCACGTGCTCGCACCACAAAAGGTTTGTCGCTGGTTTCAAGACCAAGGCGAAGGCGCAATTGCGGGCAAACTGCATCAGCGGCTGAAGCTTGACTAGTCTTCTCTCTCCACGCAAGCAGGCCGGGAGCATCCAGGTGTGGGACCTGAACGCAGCATCCTCCGACGGACTTCTGGCCGTTATCGAGGATCGAAAGAAATCCCCTCGACAGGCTCGAATCTCAGCTCAGCGTTGTTTCCAGGAGATGTCTCAGTTGCAGGTCAAGTATGGGTCGTTTATGATGGAGGACGAGGCCCTCAGTCAGATCGCATTCGGGAGTCTTCGGAGAGTGAAATCTAAAGGACATGCTCAATGTCGGACTGTGGCGTGACAAGGCCACCAAGGACTTGGAAGCACGTGTTTGCACCTTCCAATGAGCCAGACACCTGTGCTCGATTTTGCCTTCCAGTTCTCGCAGGAGTGGTGCAAGTTCGACTTGGAATGGGCTTTGTTCAAGGAGAGATGGCAGCTGGATCCGAAACCTATGCAAGACTCCAAGCGCGTCCCTGAGCTCTTCCGAGAGATGGCCTCTGCCGAGAGATGGCCACCGGCATGTAACTCAAATGGGAGGTGGTATCCGGACGGTGTGCCAGTCGTGTACCTGTCCATGCACAACACGAAGCAGTTCGCAAGCAACTCAAGCTACAAAGCCATGCTAGAGTGTTTCTGCAGCCCCTCGCCTGTCGATGCCTTGAGGAGGTGACGGATTGGCTTCTGTCTTGGTTTGCGCGATGCCACAGCTTCAAGCCAGCCAAGTGTTCAACCTCAGGCGTCCGAACGAGCTGACTGTGTATTCCGAGTCTGTTGTCCCGCCCTGCAGGCAAGGCACCGCCTCCTCAATGTGAGCTGCGCGGATTCCTGGCAAGCCGAGTCTATGCGGCGAGCACGTCTCCCAGGTCAGGAGGATTCGTCGGCAGAGCGGAAGCTCAGACGACGTCCGCACCAGTATGTGGAAGACATGCGTGAAGCCCAAGTTATGCTCTGCTTCATTGCGCTATGCCATGCTCGGAAACATTGAGCACAATCCGGTAGGTGCTGCTGCATGGAGCCCCGCCTGAGCAAATGGATCTATTGGGGCGGCAAATGGTAGGTGGCCCAATTTGGAAATCTCAACGGGCTTCTTCGGCTGGGTTCGCACTCCAAGGTTTGACAATGGACAGGCGGTGCCAGGCGGGGAAGGTCCCGGTGGCAGAAGTTCTGTGTCAGTGGTCTGCCATATTGCACAGGCAAAATGCCGGGCATGCAGAAGAACAGAACCTGCACTCTGCCCTGAAGGGGAGGGAACATGTACAAAATGTACAGCAAGTCGCCGAGACTTGTTTGAGGAGTTCTGTTTCTTGGAAGGGAGGGACGAGAAACCCATCTCGTGTAGCATTCCCCTTCTGCCCAAGAGGGCAAGATGGCCAATCCTGGTCCTAGTTAATGAACCTTGAAATTCTGCAAAGCTCGGAAGGAATACAAGGACGCGGCAGTGCCTGAGGCGACGGATAGTTGGCGCAGGCGCTCCAAAGGCCGTATGCACCAGGCTTGCATCTGAAGTCGGGGCGGGGCGGGGGCGGGGGGGGGGGCGGGGTCACATCCCCACACATCCCCAGAAATCACTTGACATTCTGTCCACTCGTCACCTTGAGGCACTCGCCGCTCTCGAAGTCTACAGGAAGCCAGAGCCTGGTGGCGCTCGACAGGCTGGGGTAGCCTTGGGGTCCTCCCTTCTTTTGGCCTTGCTACTGTATGGCAGTGCGCCTTGGGGACATGGCTGATCCTGTTGCGTTAAACCGCTGCTTCAGAGGAGAGCACTTTCCGGCCAGGTTTGAGGCGCAGTAGATTGCAGCCGCTGCGTGGAGCCTCGCCACGCCACAGCACCGTGGCGAGACGCCTACGGCAGGGCACCCAACAAGTCGGATCGCGACATACTTCGCAACTATGCAGCCCTCAGGCTGCGACTGAACTTGTCGGAAGTTCAGCAATCAAGGAAGGCCGGATGCAGGATACACCCCAGCCGTGAATGCGCATTCGATATCTGGTGTTATCAGCATCGTCTGCGCGTTATTCTCCGGCTTAACGGAAGATCAAATTCAGTGAAGATTCAACAATTGTGACCTTATGTAAACCTTATATGTTAGAGATAGTTCTTGCCATGTGATATGTTGCGACCGTTCAGCTACTCTATCTGCATGTAGTGTCCTGGCCTTGTTATACCCAGACGATGACACCCGAAGTTCGAGACTGAGACTAGCGATCAATCTGCAACAGCCCGTGCCAGCATGGCACCCCAAAGCTTTGATGTACCAAGCTGCCTGGTTTTTCAGCGGCGCGTGGCTGCAGAACAAGTGCAGCACATGCCAGCTCATGGCTTACTTGCACAGCCTATGGTTTCTTACTGACGCATGTGCTGCATTTGTATGTCGTGTGCTAGAACAGCTAGAAAGATTGCATTGTTTCAAGGCTGCCGCAGCTCCGACGTGCGACAGACGAGCGCAATGCTTGCAGACTTTTCGTGCGATTGCTGGGTGCATCCATTCCCGGGCTTGCAGAGCCAGGACAATGCGCTGTGCAACTATCCAGCTGACTGGATTGAAAAGAGACATGCTACCGTTTTTCCAAACTAACCCCTCCACTCTAGACTTCCAAGCATTGGGGCTGAAGGTTTAAGCAGGTTGCGCCCTCAGTGTCAAGGTTTTCGCATTGCACCGAATCTGCCAAGTGTTGGCTTTCCCATGAAGTTCAGACTGACGGTATGTCTCGACAAAGTGGATGTGCCAAGATGAGTTGAGGGCAACTGGAACCTCCGGCTGGAGTTCAAAGAAGGCGCTTCAGGTATCGTCAGGTCTACACGGACGTATCGGAAGGACGAAACGAACAGGGCAGTAACGATCTTGGCCAGCGACCGGAGCCGGTGGTGTCGACAGAATGCCGGGTTTGGGTGGGACGGCCGTGCCAAGTCGTCGAACAGCCCAAGCCGCCGTATTCTCCCCAACACACTCGTTACAGATTCTATGTTTGCTATTTAGCAGTGTCCGCAGAGTGTGAGGATTGCTCATGCGCGAGCATCCATGTGTGGAAGTGGCATTCGGTGATGCAGTGAAGGCGACGCGCCTGCACTATGCTTTCCCCCCCACAAGTCCTCAGTTGTGTCGTTCTCGGCAAGAGTGCATCTCAAGGAGTCCGAACCTGCTGAGTACGTCTCTGTGGGCACGCCAACTTTCGGACCAAGCGCGGCGGGCTGAGCATCTTAGATCGACGTAGTTCGGCTGGTCTTCTGAGCGTGTTTCAGGCCCGAAAGCCAGGTTTGGTTCCGACAGCGCTACAGGACAAGAAAAGAAAAGCCGTTTCGACTACAAGATTTTTGGCGGGATGCTGCATTCCTGGAGGATTGTGAGTGGCACTTCGGCGATACGATGGTCTTCACTGTCGCTCAGACAAAAGTCAGCCTGTCCGATATGGCGGCGTTGTGCTGGGTGGTGGGGCACTTGGTTCAGGTTCAGCTGTCGGAGCTCACTTCCTGCGGCTTGTCCCTTCGTGTGCGCACACGGAGTGACATGCGCCTGGGTCCCTTGCAGCTGGACCTGGCCCGGCCTAGCCAAGTGGGTTGCTGCACACTTGACATGAGGCACCCAATTCACTGAAGCCTGCCGAATATTATTCCGGACTGATCAGAAAATTCTGCGCGCACCCTTTGTGTCAGGCGTCGGATCCTTCCAGCCTGCTCCAACCCAAAAGTGGCCCAGGCGACCGGCAAAGAAGTGTTTTACTTGTGCCCCACGTTCACAAACCGGCGCGGCCTGGCAGGTCGCAAGCAAGGTGGTAAAGGCCAAGGATGATGCAACCGCACCCAGTTCGCAGCTGGCTGCGTTTTGCCAACGGAGAGCCTGCCATGTTGCAGTGCACTGATTTGCCGATGTTTTTGAGGCAGCTTCTTCCGAGGCCCATGCAGCTTCGCAAGAGATCTGGGAGTCTGAGGAGATCTGCTTGCCACTCGTTACAGCTGACGGCGCGGATGAAGGAGTACTCCGCTCAGTTGCAAGAGGTGTTCGCTGTTATTTCATGTCGTACTTTGGACCGCGCTGCAGGCATGGCTCTTGGTGAGTTTCGCGCTGTCTGCCAACCCGCAGTCGCTCGAAAAACTGGCTTCCCGGGCAGACAGGACTTTGGTTGAGCGAGCACCCCGGCTGCAAACTTCAGCCTTTATCCTGCACCGACTGTAGCGATGCGGAAGCCGCTGACGCGTGCTAACAACCTTTGTCTTGCGAGGTTTCTGAAAGTGTCTCAAACCTGGGCCAACAAGCCCAGCCAGCGTTGCAGTGGGCGGCAGAATGTTGTGCCACAGAAACAGCGAGGACGGCATCCCGGTTGAAGGGAAGGTCCCTGTACCCTGACATCACCTCAGGAGCTCTCAAGAGCGGATCGTCGTGTCCATCCCAGCCATGGAGCACGAAAGCACGGGCGTGGACTTAGGCATGCGAACAGGGTCCTGAAGCAGATGATTGGTGGCTGTCGCTGTCGCTGTCAGGCCGCACCCAAGCAGGGGCGCCCGAGAGCCAGCAAAGCCGAGAGTGTGTTGCTGCGCCGCAACAGGAGAGCCGATTTCACGGGATGAGTTGAGGTTTCAAGATCTCGCGAGGCTCAGTTCGCTAGCTTGCTAAGACAAGGAGATAGAAGCAGAGCCTGCGCCAGAGCCGCCTGCCTTCCCGGAGACGGTTCAAAGCAGGCCGCCTTCGCAGTCTCATGTCCTCATAGACTTGCCTTCTTTCTTTCCTAGCAAAGTTGTATTTATCAGTGTTTTGAGGCTCCCAGTTCGGAGCCAGTGCGGAAGAAGCTTGGCTTCAACAACTGAGTTCATCGTGATCGTCATTGTGTTTGTTCCAGCAGCTCCGAGCAGGATATCTCGTTTCACAGAATCCCGCCGGGGCTGCTGCGGCCGGCCCTACCCTGCCCATGCCGTACACCTTGAACCCAGCTTGGACGTGGTATCAGAGGCTCGGTATAGAGTTTAGGCTTGAGGGGCGGAGCCCAGGGCTTTCAACAGCAAGGGGGCGGTTTGGTTTTCGTCCAGCAGGCCACAGCTCACTGCGCAGAGCGCCGGCTTGCAACCTCAAACGTGGGGCTTTCCACAGCTTCTGAGCTGCATGCGGGAGCAGCTTGAGGTCGTTCGGGGAGAGCTTCTCTGGGTTGACATGTAGGCAGCTAAGGCCAGCTCCTGTGCCAGCTCACCTGCCGCAGTTCCGCTAAAATGATGCAAAGAGTGCAGGGTTGAGTGCGACAGCAGCAGGTTCCAGGCAAATTTCGGCCTGTCCAAGTCATGTGGGTCTATCTGTCTATCTTCGCCTCTGCGAGCCAGTCCCTGCCCACAGGCAGCTATGATCCGCATAGCATTGCCAGCATTGTGCAGAGCCTCACAACTCCCGCCGGGGCCTGAGCATGACGTAGGGCTCTGCGATGGCCAGCTTTTTTCTGTAAAAAAGTCTGCATCCCAGGTAGCTCGCGGTCAGCAGTTGACAGCTGCCTGGGGCCCACAGGGCCTGCTCCGAGTCGACCCTCGTTCCTGGATCTCACAGCATAAGCAGCATAGATATCATAAGGCAACCTCGGAGGCTCCGGTCCAACTGCCAGAACTCAACACACAGGACCTTTCCAACACGGCACAGGCTGCACTGCCACCCTTCTAGGGATCCACGACCTGTGTGTGTGTGTGTGTGTGGGAGGCACCAGCTACTTCGTCCCATGGTGGTAGTTTACTGATGACAGCTGCCAATGCCTGAGAGGTGGAAAATACGGATGTTTTGAAGCTTTTGTGATTTCTTGCTGTTGCTTTGCAGGTTTGCCTTCTGTACACGAGTCCGTGTGAGGCCATGGAGGCATCTCTCATCAAGCTTGCTTCCTTCAGGCTAGTACGGATGAGCATTCCGTCGATGAGCAGCCTGCCTGAGATCGTTTACCAGTTACAGGGACGACACGATTGATTTCGTCAGTGATGCTGTCGCCAGCCAGCATTCTGTTTTTTTGCTGGAGTTCTGGCTAGACATGTTCGAAGGATGGACTTCGGTGAATCGTTGCTTCGCCCACGGTCTCACAGAGTTTCCGATGAAGTCTGTGTGATTTCCTGAGGGTTCCTGCTTTGGATTTCAGCTTCCCAGAAGTCATCGGAATCATGTTTCAGGCAGCAGTGGCATGCCCTGAAAGCAGTGCATGGGCAAAGCTGCACTCCTGCAGGCGGGGGGAAACAGAGATGCTACTCTGGTCTTTAGCCCCGTGGCGCTGGGAGACGTCCTTGAAGGCGACTGCTGCTTCTTGTGCCTTTTAGCCCGAATGGGCCTTAATCCTTCTTGCCCAACTCATTGTGGATTAATGTGTCGAGTCGAGGTGCTCCGCGACATGGATCGGCGGGGATCACAGAGGCACAGCTTTACAACGGGACACATGCGATGTTGCTGAGTCAGGACCTCCACTCTGCGCCCCTTGGGTCAGCCCGGCTGATTTGAAGTCGCTGTTACGGGCACTGAGCGCCGGTATTTGCAAACCTGTGCTTGAAGAGCTGTGTCACGCTGTGTCTGTCAACAGTCCGCCAAGTCAAGCTGACCGACGAGCAGCAAAGGATGTAACCAGAAGGAGTTGTTCAGTTTCGCCTATGTTGAGTTAATGCTGGTGTAGCTAGCCGGCTAGCCATTCCTCCGTCCGCACTTGCTGCCATGCCATGGCTTCTGATATGAAGGGGGACGCGAGGTCGCATGAATTGGAAGCGCTACCGCTACTCCCTCTTACCATGCTTGGTTTCTAGGGCAGGAGCTAAGGATGTTTTGCGAGAGCAGCCTGTGCAGTTTACGTTGCTGATGCTGACACTTACCTGCAGCATGGACTCAAGCAGTCAGCCGCACGCAGACCCGATGCAACTATGCAACAGTTTGATGAAGATGGTGTTGCCTCGAGGCTGGGCGTCGGAGGCTGCGGCATCATGGCTCCGGTTTGCTGCATGTGGTCAAGGGGTTTGGAAGCCTCGGTCCGTGCCTTTGATGTTCCTTGGTGGCACTCCTGCACTGGTCAATTTCGACAGATTCTTTAAAGTTGAACGAAGCTGAATTCACAGCCTCTGGTCATTTTCCAGACAAGGAAGCTGGGTGCTTTGCCTGCAGCCAGACGCAAAGACGAACCGTAGTCGGGACTTTTGCATGTCGGATATGGCGGAAGAACATGGATCTTCAGTTTTGGCCGTTTTGTGAGCCCAAGAAAGCTTTTGGGCTCCTTCAATCCAAGTTGCTATTTCGTTGGCGGCTTGTTTGGTGGATCCATCCTCCTCGAGATGCTGGTAGTCACCTCACCGCATGAGCAGCGATAGGCTGGCGAGAGTCTCAAGCTCACGTGTTGAGAGGCTCTCCTCATGGCAACCGGTCATTTTCCGGACCTGGGACCGCCCATGCCGTACGAATGTGTGCCCTGGACGCATTCCCGTTTGTTGTGCTCGCGAGACAGGGGTGCCGTAGATTCCGGCATGCCCTGGCAAGCTTGCGACATGCAAGTCTGACCTACTGTGCCCCCTGGACAAAGTTAAGGTCACGCAGAGTTGATTCTGAGCAGAGCAGTGGCATTGCTTGTGCAGGCCTTCTTGGTGGCGATCCTCGTTGCCCTGGTGTTCTCAGTCAAGGCCGGATCTTGTCACCGACTGCGTCTTCGCATTGAAGGTACTGGAGCACCACAGGTAGAGTAGACCAAATAATATACTATTACTATTGCGGCGTAGGTATATTATATACCTACGCCGCAATATATAATAAGATACCCATGGAGACTGTGGTGGCTGTCTGGCTGAGAGTCCATTTTGGCAGAAGAGGGCAAGTGAGGCTTGGAAAACCGTTTAACGCAATGTCGCTGCTGCTCCTGGCATGCCTTGGCCTTCCCGTGAGAGTTGTGAGCCATTCATACTTGGCACTGCCTCCTTCGCGGAACTTGCTCGCAAACTTGGACGGGTTGGAGGATTGCCCGCATTGCCTACAGTCAGGCGGCCCTGACAACGTCAAGGCCCGCGGAGAGGGCGTGTGGCCGACCCGATTGGCTCCGGGCTCTCATGGCCTCTGTGGAGACCCGGTGCAGGGACAAAGCAACCCTGTTCGGCTTCAAGATGAGACCTATCTCAAGGCCGGGGTCGTTACCGCAACGTATGCGCCAGGAGAAGTGGTGGAGTTCCAAGTCGCAGTTAGTACACATCATCAAGGGCACTACGAGTTTCGCATCTGCGACAAGCCGCTGGATGCGGCGTCCCTCACCTCAGCTGCCGAAGGCCAAGCTTGTTTGGACCAATGGTTGCTGCAGCGGGCAGCGCCCCTGGATGACTGTGTGGTCAACGATCCCAGGGGCGACTGCCAGCCACTGGACCCAGAGCATCCTGAAAGATGGTACTTGCCACCAGCTGGTTCACAGACGCAAGTGGCCGGGCGCGACTTCACGGACTCCATGGCTCCCAGCTATCCATCCTCCTCGGAGGTGCACCGCATGAGGTTCAAGATTCCCGAAGGCTTGCAGTGCTCCAGGCGCTTCTTCAAACAAGCGAATGCTACTGGTAGCGTAAGTAGTGCAGGGGTTAAAGACGGGTCATCGCGGGTCGTAATCGCTCTCCGCTGAACCAGGTGCACGCTACAGTGGTACTGGTCTTCCGGGAACACCTGCCTTTACGATGGCGACTACTTCGACTATTTTCGAGGTATTGCTGCACTTGGATGGGACGCAAGTGCATGGCAGACCAACGTTCTGGAAAACTGGGCAAACTGTGCCAACAGCTGCTGCCAGACTGGTGGAACATTCGGTGAGGAGTTTTGGAACTGCGCAGATGTTGCGGTTGTGCCAAGTGGCGGCTCTTCGGCAACAACGACGGAGCTGTCAACCACGAGCGTTGCTTCCCAACTTAACTTTCACAGAAGATTTGACTGGATCTGGAAACCATGGTTTGAATTTCTTTTCAGGCTTGCAGTGTTTTTCAGGGTAGGACATTGCGCAGGCCACATCAGAGACTCCCACCACTACCACTACAACTTCGGCAGCGACGCCTTTATTTACTCCTGTGGATGGAGGCGATGGGCGGGCTTGTCGTGGAAGAAGTGCCGGGGATAATTCTGCGACCTACTATGAGGTGGTCTCCGGGGTGACCCAGCTAGGGGACTGCAAGGCAAAATGCGTTGCAACAGCAGGCTGTGTTGGCATCGAACACAACCCACGTGGCCGTGGGCGGTGTGAGGTGTGGACACGGTCTGAGGGAATCCAGGCTTCCATTCCGTTGCCTGGCTTCACGTGCCTTAGACTGGGCGAGGCATCTACTACTCGACCGATCGGGTCGCTTGGAACCTTTGAGAGCCTTGGAGTGGGCACGGCCTGCCGTGGCGCAAGCCCCGGAGACAACTCTCCCAACTACTACTCGGTCGTCTTTCCGGCTTCTCTGGACTTTTGCAAAAGACAGTGTGCATCTAGCGAGGGCTGTCAAGGCATCGAGTTCTCTAACGGGGGAAGATGCGAAGTTTGGACCCGAGCTATTGAAGCGAGTGCTCCTGTCAACGGCTTCACGTGCTACACTTTCACTCCGCCTGGGGTCCCGGCCTCAGCATGCAGAGATACAGTAGCCTTGTCACACAGGACGGCGTTTCACACGGCAGCACGGCTGAGGTCCCCACTTCAACAACCTCGACCTCGTCTCCGAACGCGTGCTCCAGCGCGTGGGGGGCATGTGGCGGCCAGAACTGGGATGGGCCAACCTGTTGTGAAGATGGGTATGTTTGCATGGCCGTGGCTCGGCCTGGGTTTCTAGCTGGCTTCTGCAGTCAGGTCGCCAGGCAAGACATGTCCACAACTAGTCCTAGAAGCTAGGAGCATGCTTCACGGCCCAAGGAAAGCATTTGGTACTCACAGTGTCGACCTGCTGCAGCTCTGGCTGAGATGCCTGACCTTGCAACTCCTGAGCACAAGAAGCACCGCCGTGGCTTGGCCAAAACAATCGTGACAGGGCAACCCTTTCAGGTGAATTGCATGTTTTGCCACTTTTGTTGAAGCCATCCGCAGGTTTTCGTGGAAGCACATTTTTGCAAGATGGCATGCTCTTGGACCACATGCTGGTAGAAGAGCTATGAGTCGTCTCTGATTTTCTGATGGTTGCAACATCGCCGCAACACTCACGCAGGGGATGGATGCAGCCATGACTTCGCAACAGGTGCAAAGGTTCCGATAAGCTGGCGCCCGGATTGGGCACGAACTGCTAGGTGCATCAGTTTTCGCTGTACAGTACAGATGTTTTGGCTCTTCCTGGGCGGCAAAAGCGAGCCTGCGAAATGCCAGTTGCCGAATTCAGGTTTTGTGCTCCACAGTGGCCAAGAAGTGGCGAACTGCCACGCTGGTCACAGTTGGGTCCGCGCACAGATGGTCGTGGCTGGTGGGTGATTACATCACGGGTTTGTATTCTTGGGCGAGGAATTCTGCATTCGTATCGCAGAAACTCTGGCCTGGCTTCTCTTGCTGTGCGATGGCTCATGACTTTTCGACCACTTTTGAGCAGAGACTGCTTTGCCCAGAGTGCGATGTGCACCAAACAGGAAAACAAAGAGGGCTGATGTTTTATAAGTTCCGGGGCTTATTAGGAGACCGTGTTTGCCTGCTTAACCTGAAGCGCCTGCAGGTGAGGAGGCTTGCCCAAAGAAACTTGGCGAGCGCACGCGAGGGCGACGGTGGAGCCTCCACAAGGTTGCTTTCGTGACGGTTCCAGCTGTGATAAAGCAAACTAGAAAGATCTGCGCCAACTTGCTCGACCGGTCCTCGCGACAAAATGCTTTGGCCGAAGGGTTTGCAGCGGCAGGAATGCCACAACGCCTTGTCGCTTGCCGTTAGCTCAAGGATGCCGAAGGTGACAGCGCAGGCTAAAAGCAGGTCGTACAGCTCACGGACACTCGCAAAGTTTCACTGAGCGTGCCGGACATGTGTAAGCAAGGCAAAGAGTAAGACGAGTAGGAGATGCAACGAGGCATGGAGTCACCAAGTAGTTTTCAGTGTAAGCGTTGGCAGTCCGACATGGATTCTCATGATCCGTAGTCCGAGTCATGTCGATTGAGGCGGCTGCTTTCATTTCGACCGATGCTTGCCTTGATTTTAAAAGCCTTCGAGTCTGCCAGACACAGGAGGTGGTGAAAGAGCTGGAAAGCCGGCGGCAATTTGCCGGTGATCATCTGTGGAGGCACACCTGCGTGTTCAGGGGCAGCACAGATGGACCACTGTGGTGTCACCAAGAGGCTCAACACTGCCATCTTCAACTGCGCTGATGAGAATGAGGTCACTTCACAGCTAGCTGGCCGACCCTGGTCAAGATGTGGGTTGAAGATGCAGTGGCCAGTGTACGGTTTAGGCGTTTTGTGTTTCAGCATCGTGCAGGAACGGAAATGGTTCCTTTGAAGAGTGCCTGACTTCAGGAATTTACCAAGTGGTCATGCAGATGCGGAAAGAGTACCAGTCTGGACAGTTCTATGCCACGGACCAGGGCAACTTGTTTCGAAGCAGATCCCAGTAGAGGTGCTTTGATATCATGGGTCAGGACCAGTGAAGTGTAGCTGGACTCGACAAAACTCAGGCAACTACCTTGCCCTGTTGGGCACGTTGCAGAACCAGCACCCTGGCAGGCATTTTGTATGCTGTCCTTGCGGCCTTGCGCTGTGTTTGGGTCCCTTGTCCCTTGCTCTGAGGGATTACTTCTCAACACGTCAAGCAACGGCCTTCCGTGGCTGGATCGCCGAAGCTCTTGGTGCGGGCCGGGAGGGCCGAGAGGCCTCGGCCCAGACATCCAAGGACAAGGAGCCGGTGAGTTTGGACTTTAGAACTTTAGATGATTTTAGGATGCTGCGTTCCTTGAGCCGTGTCTTGAGGAGAGCGGCACCAATGGCCTGAGCCGGTCAGAAGCGCAAAAATTGCGAAAGCTGGAAGCAAGCAGAGAGGCGGGAAGGTGGAAGTGCGAAAAAGCGCGATTAAAGGGGTCCCCCGCGGCCAAGGCCTTGGCTGCAGAGCTTCGCCAACTTCGCTCCTTGCGGTCTGCCGTTGAAACCTTTACGTCCTTCGATGCAACAAAAAGAGGCGGGGCGCGGGGGGGGGGGGGGGGGGGGTGCGCCGCAGTGCACGCTTGGGGCGTTCTTGCGATATCTCGTCTTCTCAGGAACCGCAAAGAAGAAGGACAACCAGAAGCAGAACGAGGGTCCAAAGGACAACGTCTCAGCCATCGGGAACATGCAGGAGGCACACGCGCATTGTCTGTTTGTAAGACCCTGCCGCGTCTGCGAGGATTCGCCACAGCCCGTGCCATCCACGGGTTCGGACGGTGGCACACGACGCGAGGAGCGCCGAGAAAGTGTGAAGGTCGAACCACCCGGCTACCAGGCTCGACAATGGCGCGCTGCATGTCTGCCATGTCTGCCCTGTCTTTCCTGTGTTCTGAAGGTGAGGACGGACAGTGGGTGGATCAGGTATGACGACGAGGCTCAGACGGCTCTGCGGGCCGCTGCTGAGAAGGGTCAGCCAGAATGCCGCTGAGCCGCGAATTCCGTAGATTTGCCGAGAACCTTACAATGTCAACGTCCAAGGTGAGATCTTTGCCCAAGGCCAATACTACAAGATCAGCCTCAAGCGTCTCTCGGCTCTAGCCTAGCGGTAGCCTGGCGGTAGCAAGCGGGCTTCGAGCTCTCCACCCCAAGGAATGGTGCAGATCAATCCTTCCACCGGAAACGAGCGGTCGGTGCGATTGCAGGGTGAGGCCCCGCGGACTCCTGAGATGCCCAAGTTGAACTTCAAGCGCCTCATGGTCGAGCAACTTGGAGCTGAAGTCATCGTCATGAGATGTCATGAGTCATAGTCATCGAGTCATGGGTGATGCTTGAAGCTGGGCTTTTGCTTCCCCTCTCAGGTTCAAGCAGCTCGAGGCTTGCATAGCTGCTGGCCAAGAGCCAAGTTTTCACAGATGTGAGCCCGTGGAGGACAACTTGATGGAGTCTTGTCCGCCACTGGTGCTTCCTTCTCACTTGTACTCGCTCTCCATCTGTCTCGCTCTTTCCATCTCTATCTTGTCTCCGCTTTCCCTTTGTTTCTTCTCTCTGAGTCCCTGGCTCTCAAACCGAAGAACCTTGCCGGCTCAGCGGGTTCGGCTTTCGATTCGCCCCTGTTCAGCCTAGGACTGGGAGATGGACATGTCCTTTCCTGCGGAGTCAGCTCTGCAGAAGAGCCTGGAAAATCTGGCCGCAACCCAGCTTCAAACACATCAGGGTGGGCATCTGCCATTTCTGTGTGCTCCGAAGATCATCTCAGGCCAGCATGTTCGACAGCAGCCTGAACAAAATTACTTTTTGCATACGCTTCCCCGTGGAGTTCCCTCTGAGCCCGCCGGAAGTGTGGCTGCGGCGGCCACGGATGAGATATCGATCTGGTCAATCAGGACCAGCAGCTGCCCCATCGAAGATCAGACAGGTAGGAAAAGTGGGTGCCGGAATCACCATCGAAGGACCGGTGACCTTCGGTGGCCGTGTTTGCAGTCCCTAGGCCGAACCAGCAAAAGTTGCTAACTGGACCGGCTTGAATCTGTGCTGGTGTGGAGCACTTACATCTTCCAGCATCTGAGACAAGGCATGCTGTTGGCATCTGCTGGCTGGCAGCCGGCTACCTCCATGCTTGCCGTGCTGAAGGAGGTGCAGCAAAGCCTGGTGGATTCTGGTATCGAAGCCAACACAACCGTCTGCATCAAGAAGGCTGGGATGCCCCTTCCTGCAGTTGGCGTTTGTTGTGCTGGTGTGCTAAAGGAATACCCGAGAGCTTCCATTCAATTGCAGCGTCGCTTGGCTTCATACCTGTGATGCAAGGTAAGGCCATGCAAACCGTGTGGGTTTTTTGCTGCTTTAGCTTTGCTGGCGGCCGGCCAGCAGGCCACACGGCCAAAGGACTAAACACCGAGCTGTTCCCCACGGTGAACGGTTTCTGTCAGATGGCTATGACAGCGATCTCCCCGGAAGAAGCTTCGGCCTTCCTGGGCGATCTCTCCAGGCGGGGCACTGTCGGCCTCTCTAAAATTTATTGTAATATACTAGAATATGCGATATTGTGCTATCGCATGCTACAATATGTTATAGTATATTATGTATATTGTTGTCTGTCTACGGAGTCGGGGGTGCGGCCGCCTCACCTGGAGCCTAGAGGCTGGAGGCCACCGACAAGATCGGGCTTCCTTTCGCATATGCGAAGCTCGGAGACCATAGGGCCATGGGGGCCCAGGGGCTGTTGGCGATAGAGCGAACTGTTGAACAATTGAGGCAGAGGTTGTCGGGTAACCCGAAGCGAAGTCTGCAGAGGCTTGAGTGGTGGCGGTGTCGGATCTGTCCGGCTTTGTCCCTTCGTGGTTCCGTGCTGTTACGCCTGTGTTGGCTTTGCCCGGTGGACCGATCCGTTGCTTGTGCGACCGTCGTCCTGTGGAAGAATCCGCGGCCAAGGAACAGCATTTACAAGCGAGCCGAATTGGGCGCCGAATTGGTTTTGCCCTTGGTCTTCGAACTGAAAACACTTCTGGGGCGGAAGACTCACTGTGCCACAGCTGCAAACTCAGTGCAGGTCGGTTTGAATCATGCCTGCGAAGTTCGTATGATTGTAGCATGGTCTCCGAGTGACAGTCAGTCATCAAGGTGCCATCTTCGAGTTCATAGACGGCTTGCCGGACAATCATGTGCTAATCCCAAAGTGGGTTATGGAGGATCTCGCAATTGATGAGCAGCTTGCCGCAATATCGGCGATCCTTGTTGTTCAAGTTCTGCTCACGTCTAATCAACTCTAAGGAGGGAGCCGTTGAGGGTGCGCGGCGTGGATCTTGATTTGGTCACTGCTGTGTTTCGATCGCACAGAGAGACGGCTCCTTTTGCTCTCAAGCCCCATGCCACGGAAACCCCTCAGCAACTCGTGAACGATTGAACACCCCTTCTCGAGGTGAAAGTTCAGCCACATAGCGTCGACTTTTATCAAGCTGTTCGGGACAGCGGCCGCGATGTTCGAGAACTGCTCACGGAATCCCTCTCACGCTTCAGTACACTCACGGAGGACTCCCAACGTTCGTTCCACAGACTCTTCGCGAAGCCAGATTGCCAATCTGCCATGAAACAACGGTTGCCAGGACACTGCAGTGCCCATTGAAGTGGGTGGAAGGCCTGCGAATTCAACAGGATACAGACTCTGCACGCTGTTCCCGAGCTAACGCAGCTCGAGGGCGATACAGCTTGTTTTGTGGCACGAGGCTGTACCAGGTGCAGGTGATCACCGTGGAGCCCCACGGTGCCGTTCGCATTATTGTCTCTCGGTGCTGTCAGCATTCCTAGTAGGTGAACATCGCTCAGATGTGTGAAAAGTATCAGGGCTTTGCTAAAACAGAACTGACCAGTCAGACTACAGCAGCTGGTCCGATCTGGTCTTACTCGACCAGCAACCTGAACTCAGCCACCAAAGGCCCCCGATCTACTGGCAATAGGTCACCAAGAGCCTCGGTAGAGTTTCGAACTGCCGACGCTGTGAAAGACCCATGGGTGAGGTGACGTTGAAAATTGGTTAATTAGTTGCTAAGCGGTAGCCAGGCAGGCCATCATTGCAGCTCCTCTTAGCATCATATATTTTCTAGGGTGCCCCGGCCAAGCATTTACTTTTGTTTTTTTTTGGTGGGCCATGTGCTCGTGGCGAACCAAACATCTCATTTTTTACGTCTTACGTCCTTCTGAGCTAGACCAGCGAATTTGGTGAATTGTTTTGTGCCTCTTACGGCTTGTGATACTTCCTTTGTTTGTCGTTGTTGCGGTTGGCCTGACACCTTCTTGTCGTGGTTCGTTTTGGTCCGTATGGCGGCCGAGACCATCTTGGCTGCCGAAAGGGTGTTTGTTGTAGACTTGTAGAATCGCATGACATGTGCTGGATATTGGAATTCCTACCAAGGACATGGATGTACAACACCACTTCGAGTTCAAGGTGCTGGCATCTTTCCTGAGACTCCTTCTGTCTTCACATGCAGTCAGGTGGAGTTCGAGCCTGCTCCTGATCTGGAGGATGAAGCAGCTACGAAGGCACGCGACTTGGGCATGGCGGCATAGCAGTCAAAATCATTTCGCCCATCGAAGCTTGCTTCTCTCGACCCAAGGAGTTTCAAGACCGCGCACTGAAGTCAGTGAAGCTGCGTCGCGAACGCTCGGCTGCTGGACGACAGGATACCCTGCATGTTTCGAGAGGTCGTTACTGCCCACTACTGCGCAGTGTGAGCGGTCAGGAAATAGAAGAACGCCGCCGTGAAGCTCGACAGAAGCGATACGAGGCTGGACGCATGTGGCAGCTTTGTAGAAGTTTTTGAATGACTTCCGGCCCGCTGCCTCTGTCTACGAGGGCTTGGTGGCAAGAGAGTCCGCGAACGTTATCGACAAGAGTGCCTGGCTTTGGGGGGGTGGGCGACGCATTGAAATCGAGAGGCTGGTTCTGGTCCCAAGGTGAGGGAACGGTGGAAGTTGGCCTTAGGATGCCCGATGGGTCACAGCTGAAAGGCGACAACAAGCGGTTGCAAGGCGCTTTTGTTGCATGTCGCTTTGGCAGAAAGCAGATGCGCAGGCAAGTTCCCGGAGGGTGCATCCGTCGCCTGCTTGATGCTGGCTGCCTTGGAGAGCCCCTGGGCGAAAGCGGCGCTGCCTTGGGGCATCTACCTGCGCATGGCCTTCCCCAAGAAGGTGCTGAAAAAGGGCAACTGCTGGCCCTATGCTGTGCTCTTGCAGTCTCTGGCGACATCTGCTGAGGTGCTTGCAAGCCAAGATGTCATTGACAAAGGCTTTCACAGAAGCACCTTGAGTGTGCAGGACCTCAGTCTGCAGACAGCCACGCATCAAATTTGCTTGCACATCCCGAAGGAGGAGCAGGCACCTGAGAAGGATGAGGAGCTCTTTGCCGTTCTGCGCGCCTGAAGCTCAGTAATAGCGCAGTCAGCGCAGCAATCTGTCGACAATGATGCCATCATGAGAACACGCTGGGCTGAGGATGCGCCCTCCCCAAAGAAATCCATCAGCGCCTCCGGCATGCCAGAGGCCATCCGTTTCGTGGCGACGCGGATAAGGGGTCTTGGCAGATGCCGGTGCGGCGAAAAGGAGTTGGCTCCACCGCCCTTGCCGGAACGCGACGAAAGCGAACTCTTCTCGAGGCTGGCCTTGGCCAAGGGTCGTAACTCGGAACGACGTCGCAAACTCTGCTTTTGCTGGCCCTGGCCCGCCTCAGAACGCAGCGCGCCTTCGAGATGCAGCGCTTTCTGCGAGCGGGCTTCAACCTGGAGGAGGCAACCACGGAGCACTGCCTCAACTGCTGTTCAGAGCAGCAAGTGTCTTTAGATGTGCCCTGATGAAGACTGAGCATTTCGGTTAAGGTGTCTTCTTTAAGGGATGCCTACTAAAGGATCTGTGACTAGGGTATGACATTCTGAGTGTCGGAGCTGTCTGGTACACAGTCAAGCGTCCTAAAGGTCCTAAAGCTTACCGTCTCAAGAGAACAGCGAGACGAATTTGTTGAGGCTGAGCAGAAGTTCCAGGCAGGGGAGATCCTGCCGCCCACAGCAGCCTCGAGGCATCGGAGGTGCCGAGTGCCAGTCGCCGGTCGACCGACGCAGACTTTTTTTGAGGCGCCCGGAGCCGCGGCCTCCGGCCGCCTTGGCTGCGCCGGCACCTGCCTCTCCGTGACGCCCTCAAAGAGCACAGCGACGAAAGCTGCTGTTTCATGAAAGCTCAAGCCTCCATCGGTTTCGTGCAGGGGCCTGCCGAACGGACTTTGCCGGAATGCGTATCTACAGAATCGGCTCGGTGTTGCCAGAGTGTCTCGAGAAAGGACACCTCTCGCCGCTGTATGGAGAAGTAGAGGGGTCAACATCTCAAGCTCCCGAATCCTGTTTGTCATTCTCGACCCCCGCATCCTGCCGGACGGTGCTGCGCAACGTCAGTGTGCGTCAGTCAAAGTTTGGGCCTGCCGAGACTCTGGCCCCGGACCAAGGGCGGAGGAAGCAGAAGCCGAGGACGAGAAGGAGAAGCGGATTGAGGTGCGACACGTCGCGGGAAAGAGGCAGCGATGTGTTGCAGAATTCCGAGCGCCAGGCGGTTGTGGCCTTCACCGGGGCCGACCGCGAGGTGGCCAAGAGAGCGCTGGAGGAGAACCAGTGGATCGAAGAGCTGGCCGTCAACAAAGTGCTTGACTCGCTCGACCAAAGCTGAAGGCATCGCTCCGATTCTGTCCGAAGTCTCGAAGCTCATTCTGTGGGGAATTGGGTGACTGCGATTTGCTCTTCAGTGTGTGTCAACTGCATACAAGCTTTTGCTAACCAGACTTCGAACACTGGGCCAGGCGAGCCAGAGAGCCGCGCGCCCGCTGATTCCAAAGTCAGGGGCAAACGAAATGAGAGCGTAGGCGTCAGGTGGCGGCAGCCAGTTGCTGCCAGTGGCCAGCTCGATGTTGTACATTGTAATACACTGTACAAAGAAGCTTACAGTACTCGCTTAATCGTGCTGGAGAACGAACCGTGCCAGCCTCCAGACTTCCGAACATCTTTGGGACCCAGGCCGAATGTAGGTCACTAGGCCACTAGGCCACGAGGTCACTAGGCATACAGCTGGCAGCTCTGGAATGGCTCAGGCTACTACAGCTAGAGTTAGAGCTTGAGGCAGGGTCTTCCACCCTTTCGCCATGCCGCAGCTGAACTTCAAGCGACTGCTGGTTGAGTGTAGCACTCGGTCGTTCAAAGCACGGGCGAGGCAAGCAAACGGGCTGTGATCTTTCAATGTCGCCCTCCATGAGGTACAAGAAAGTCCAGTCCGCCATCTCTGCCGGTCAAGCTCAGGGCATTCTTCGCTGCGAGCCGGTGGGCGACAACATGCTGGACACTTGAAGAAACGATGATAGTCTCTCGGTTTGCGTCCGTGACCCTCGCATGGCGGTCTCACAGTTGCCTCTTGCTGTAGGAGTGGGACGTGGACATGACCTTCCCTGAAGGCTCTCCGCTACAGACTAGCCTCGACGCCCTTGCCGCCTCTTGTCCAATTCCCAAGCATGTAAGCGTGCAGATTGGTTCCGCACGAGGGCAGGTGCCTTAAGCTCCCTTGGCTAAAGGAGAGCATGTCTGATGCGGAGATGCAGAAGCTGACGCTTAGCGTCCGCTTTCCTGCAGAATACCCGCTATGCCCTCCAGAAGTTTGGCTGCGTCGGCCTAGAATGCGCCACTGCTCTGAGCATGCAGGAGCCAATGTGGGATTTCAGTCGCCGTACTGTACTTCGTGACTCTGCCTCCCCGTTACTGATGTTGTTTTGCTGGAGGAGCGGTGACATTTGGTGGCAGAGTTTGCAGACTCTTGTCTTCACATTTGAGTCGCCTTTTCAACACACTTCGGCTAGGCGAGTGGCTCTGTTGATGGCGCCTAGGTTTGACATTGGCTTCTCATGGTTGGAATGCTGTCACGGACATGCTCAGCGTTCTGGTGGATGTGAGGCGACCGGGTCGCAGGGTGCTAAACCCAATGTCCCAGCACCCCGCCCGGCAACATTGTTGCATCAGCTGCCGGAGCCAGGCATACTCTGTGCTAATTGCTGAGGGATCAAATCCTGCTTGTTCTTCTATCCAGGCCCCACCAGAACGAGGGTTTTGCGTTTTTTTTCTTGCTTTTTTTCGGGTCTGCCGCGGGTTCTAGCTGCTGAGCTTCTGCGTGCCGTTTTGTCCTGCCGGTTCAAGACTTCGTTTGCTCCTGGGCGCACAAGTCGAGCAGTTGATCTCTCGTTGACGTGCTCCTTGGCATTTATCCGCTTGACCAGAGGCGGACTGGGTCGCACGCCTTTCCTTGCTCACAACGACGCATGTCGGACACCGAGTCATGTCTTGGTTTCTTGGACCCCCTGGGAGCACCAAACCCCTTACACCGGATGATCGAAACCGATCGTCACGAATAATGTGATGGAGCGGATGTAGGCGGCCTTTTGCCCCTACCTGCGTTGTTTTACACGACTAATCAGACTAATCTTTCAAAAAAGTCGTTTGCCGTGTGAAGATGCGACCTTAAGGTAGCCATCGCAGTGGAGCACGATTGTTCCGAAACTATGCCGCCGGGTAGTAGAACACTTTCCGCCGCAAGAATTTTTAAGTTGGGATCCTACCAACTTACCAGACATGACGAGTAGAACCAGGCATTTTACCGTTTCCGAGCTCGCTTTAGTTTCTGTCTTTGAGCCACCCGAATCCGCGAATCCTTCCTGGACACAAAACGCCTATATACTATACTATACTATACGACAAGTCCCTTTCAGGCGCTTCTTTACGTTTCTTGTTGCAAGAGGACAGGCAAAATCAGGACCAAGTAAACAAGTCCCCTAAAAGGGCTTTAGGGTTTAGGGCCTGGGCTAAACGATTTTCAACCAATGCCCATGGCAGAAATAAAACTCGAGAGCCCAAATCCAGATCAGCACCACAACAAATTTAAGAGCCGGCTTACTTGGTGCAGGCATCTCAGGTATCTCATGTGACGGCGCCCGATTGTGCAACCACTTCATCCGACCGTCAACGAAGTCCTTGCCTGGCTTGTCCAAGTGTGAGCGTCAAACCCCCAAACCCCGAGCGTCCAAAAGGGATGCTCACTTCGAGCTATGCAGCGCGATGGCTCCCCAGGGATTTCGTCGAGGCATCCCAGATCGGTGGCACCTGGACGCTCATCGCGTATGGCATCATGCTGGTAGTTTTCCTGTTCGAGCTGGCATCCTTCATGAGCCCGGGGTACACCACCATGATGACCCTGGACAAGGCAGGCAGCGATTTGCTGCAGATCAACTTCGACGTAGATGTGCATGACATCGAATGTCGGAACCTACAACTCGTTGTTTATGCTCAGAACGGCAAAGAAAAGCTTGGCGTGCTCGGAGAAGACTTCTGGCTGCGATCCATTGACGCTTCGGGGAAAACCTTTGGAGTTTCGATAAAGCCCCAGGAGTATCAATGGCAAGAGCAAGCAGAAGATGATCATGACAAAGTCATGCAGAAAGTGCGGCAGCAGGACGGCGCGGAGGAGATCGATTCTGATTGGGCTTCCTCGCACGATGGCTTCAAGCACAAGAGCTTCGAGCACGTCATTCAGGGCCATGATTTCACGTTCATCAACTTCTTTGCTGGATGGTGCAGCCATTGTCAGAAGTTCGCCCCAGAGTGGGATCAAATTGCCGAGAAGATCCACGGCAAAGGTGATGCTCCAGCCATGAAGTTCCCCGACAAGGACGGCATCGAGCGCCCCATTCGGCTGATCAAGCTGAACTGCGTGGACTTCAAGGAGACCTGTGTGGAAAAAGGCATCGATGCCTATCCTACATTGCGGCTCTATAAGGCAGACGGGTCCTTTACTGTCTACGACGGTCGTCGTGGGGAGGCGGAGATCGTTCGCTGGCTGGAGAGGATGGCGAAGATGAGAAGCTATGGCTGGGGTAAGCACCATGAGACCTTCGAGCGTGGCTGCAACGCCCGTGGCCGGCTGCAGGTGCCGCGTGTGCCTGGGCACTTGGAGCTCATGGCCGGGGGTGGTGATCAGACGCTGAACCCTAGGATGACCAATGTCAGTCACACCATCAAGCACTTGTCCTTCTCAGATGCAGAGGATGACACATACAGCCGCAAGACGCCCCTTCTGGCAGCGCGCTTGCTCCAGCAGGGCTGGAAACACTTCCCTGGCGAGGTAACACGAAACTTGGCACCATTGGATGGCCGCAAGTTCGTGACCAGCGGCTTTCATCAGGCTTACATCCATGACCTGAAGGTGGTGAGCACCGTCGCGGGCAAGGAGACGACCTACCAGTTTCAGCACCAGGCTCGGATATCGAAGCTGCCCGAGGCCGCCATACCTCAGGCGCAAATCCACTACGACATCGAGCCGTTTTCCATCCACGTGCAAACGGATGAGAAGAGATGGTACGATTTTGGCACTTCCCTGTGCGCGGTGCTGGGTGGTGCCTTCGTTGTCCTCAGACTTGCATCCCGGTTTTCCGTGCACCTCTCCGCCTCCCTGAAGCTTGGAGCGAAGGCCCAGCGGGGAGGTGCCATGAGCATCGGCCACTTCGAATGATCCTTCGACTGAGCACGATCACGACGTGGTGCTCAGAGCCGCGAGAGCTCAGGCTTAGAATGCTTAGAGCTTCCTGAAAGACCCAAGCGCCCGGAGGACGCAGAGGAAAACAGGGCCGGGAAAAGCCCCGAGCCTCATCTTTCACTTGGCGTTGCTGGTCGCTTTATCGCTGCCCTGTAGCTTCAGGAACTAGCTCTGCTTTCATGTTCTTGCGACTCTGGCAAGAGAAGCTTGTCCCCCGCCGTTAGGCAATCTTTGCTGGACTCCGGCATTCAAGCCTACACCACGGTCGCCATCAAGAAGGACGCGGACCAGCTCCCACGTTGTAAGGCGACAGAGAGAAACTCGACAACTCAGCCACCCCTTATGTTTCGGGTTGCGGGTGTGGACGGTGCGTCAGGTTTTCAGACGTGCCACACCAAAACCACCCATTAAGAATTCTTTAAGTTTTAGGGTTTCGAGCCCGTTTACATTTCTTTCAAGAGGTATCTCATGCATGACTAATTGGTTTCGTGCGCTCAAGCCCCCTTTCGAGCTTTTTGTCGTACGCTCAGGATTTTCGTGCCGGCAGCGACCTTGCCCGACATTTCTTGCACATGGCACATGCGAAGGTCTTTGCTTCCGAAACCAGAAGACTCGGTGGAATGTTTTGAGGCCAAGGTCCCACTTTTCCAGAAGCTCCCAGCACGACCCCACAAGACCAAGAGGCCGTCAGAATAAATTAGGTCCCAACGCAGGGAACTTGCTAGCAAAACCCTATTCTGAATCGACCTTTAGGCCATGGCGGGGCCTCTAGGTAACTGGGGTGGCCGGCGGATTTGGGGGTTGAGGGTTTGCCAGGTTTGCTTCCGAACAGAAGCAGCGATCCATGCCTACGGCGCTGGCTGGATCCATGCCCTCACATATGTGCAATCAAGGAAGATATTTCTTCCACGTCACTGCCCTCCTATCCTCACACTCTCACGCTTGCGTGTCTCATTCAATACTGCCGCTGCCCGCTGTTTTTGTCAAGAGAACTACCTGCACAGCTGGTCAGAGTACAGTGTTGTTTACGCAGGCACACAAAAGACCAGATGCAAAGGTAGCAACATGCAGATTCGCAAGCATGCACGGTGTGACTGACTTCCATCATGCAGGAGTACCCAGAGGCGGCAATAAAACTCGTGCGTGGCTGGACTCAATTGATGCTGCATGCACACATGCTTGTTTTTGTGGGTTTACGTAGCAAGATCCGATTGCATTGTCATGGTTGCGTTGCGTTTTGCCTTGAAGTGGCCCGTCCTCGTGATTTGATATCGATCTACAACCGTGCTGCAGCAGCGGTGGCAGCAGCAGCAGCAGCAGCAGCAGCAGCAGCAGCAGCAGCAGCAGCAGCAGCAGCAGCAGCAGCAGCAGCAGCAGCAGCAGCACGTAGTAGGGCAAGTTGCAGTGGAAGTGGTGGTGATCGTTGGCGTCGTTGTAGTAGAAGGAGGAGCAATGGCAGTGGTATTGGTGGTGCGTGTTAGCAGGCGTGCAATTTTGTCGGCATGCGCAGCTTACAGTAGAGGCAGGGTAGGAGTACTAAGCAGCAGTCGTCGTCTTCGTCTTCCGTTTAGTTTTCTTGCTCTCGCCTTCGTGGTCTTCATCGGTTTTTCGTCGCGGTTGCGGTTGTAAAAGTGACGATGGCCGTCAGCCGTGCCTTTGGCAGCCTCCAAGGACTGCAGTCCGAGCTTTTCCCAACGGTGAATGGATTCTGCAAAGACGGAATGACTGTGCTCTCTGCGACGGCAGCTGCGCCATTTCTGGGGGATCTTTCCAGGCCTGCCGGCGTGCCTTCGCTTCGAGCTGCGTTTTTCTTGCAGCTTGTGTCGGCAGTTCGACGCTAGGCTAGAGACCACTGACAAGATCTGCCTTCCATTTTCGTATGCCAACGAGATCTATTCGCATGAAGACCTGCGCCTTCCATTGACCTTCGAAGTTACGACACGTGTTGGCAGAAAGACGCACTGCTGCGGCCTCGGAGACAGTTTGGGATGTAAGAACGGGTGAAGGCATCTGCTTACGGCCACGTTTACATTCAGCCATGGAGCAGAGGTGCAATCTTCGAATTCGTCAACGGCTTGCCTGACATGCACGCGCTTCTGCCAAAGTGGCTCATGGATGACCTTGGGATAGAGGAGCCAGCTGGAAGCAACTAGAAAAAGCCACACAAAACCACTCCCCAAGCGAGCGCGCTCCGCTGCTCAGGCGCGAGGCCGTCCGCGTGCGTGCTGTGCAGCTGGACCTGATCACTTCTGCAACTTGGCAGAGCTGAACACGAACTGTGTCACAGCAGTTCGTCGCGGGATGTCGCGGGGGAAAAGATCACGAGGTGAAGGTCCAGCCGCACAGCGTCGACTTTTACTATGCGGTGCGAGACAGCGGCCGAGAGGTCCCGTCGTTGCTCACGGAGTCACTCTCAAGATTCAGTGCTCTTACAGAGGACGCCGCTGCTCTTAGAGTGTCAGCTTTTGAGTCGAGGTTGCTTTCCGCTGCTTTCAGGACACCGCCGTCCCCATCGATGTTGATGGCAAGCAGCTTGGCACGTTTTGGCACCAACTAGCCTGTCCAGGAGATGCTCTGGCATTCATTGCAGCTGTGATGTTGTATATGTTGCTGTTGCGCAGACAGAGCAGCACAGAGAATGCTTCTGAAGGCGACTTTTAGCAAGTAGTTTCTCCTCGGAATGCGATGGTGGTCCTTCTTGCTACATGATGATCCCCACTTATGCGTGCAACACTCGTCGACACCGGCATAAGGTTCTTCGACGTGCAGATTTTGACTGTCGAGCCGCGTGGTGCTGTCAGAATCATTGCCTCCTGGCAAAAAACGATGTGCAACTTTGAAGCTGACGGGACGTTCGTCTCTGTTCACGTGCTGGTCGAAGCGACAGAACCCGGGTGCTGGACTGATCGAACGCTGCAAGGACACAGACGTCCAACACCACTTCGAGTTCAAGGCGCAAACTCAGTGATTCACATATTTCTAATTCTATTCTGATTAGGCAGTGCAGCTGCTGCTGCTGCTGGTCTTTCTGCGCTTTCCCGACAATGTTTTTTTTTGTTGACACAATGCGCCAGGTGGACTTTGTCCCAGCCCCGGATCTCGAGGACGACGCTGCAAAGGAGGACAATGCCGCCAATTCGTTGGGTCTGGAAGTATTGCCTTGTTTGCTGACGACGGCAAGCAGCCCCGATTGGACTGTGACGAGGAGTACCAGCGGCGTGTGGTCGAAGGCTTGAAGCTCAAGCGCGAGCAGTCTGCCATCAAGAAGCAGGACAACGATGTGTGACTGTGCTGGGAAAACTTGAGGAAGTGCCAGCACACCAACGAAATTCAGGAGCTGCAAGACAGGCGGCAAGCTGCGAGACAGCATCGTTTCGCCATGCTTCGGGCGACCGCAGCCAAAGCAGCAGGCGGAGAAGCAGGCAGCTGTGCTTTTCGTTCTTGCAAGTTGGGGGATGGCATACACTGTGCAATACTGGGGGTATAGGAGCATGGGATATTGATATGGACCAACATTCGACTTATGCCGCATGCATGGTTGCAGGACTTGAGTTCTATAAGACTCTACTCTGTTCAGTGATGAGCATTTCTTCATCCGTGCTGGGGTTCAGTGCTAAACCTGATTTACACAAGCCACGTCGGGCTTTGTGGCGGCCAGGTGGGGGAGGCCATACTTCAGGTGAAAACGACTCCCTTCTGATGCTCATGATGCTCGCTTCCAGCTTTGAGGGAAGCTGGGTGCCGCTGTAGACAAGAGACTTCGCGATGCAGGTGTCGCCACATTGTAGGCCAAGGAGTTGTGGTGCCTCTATGTACACTAGTCGATTGCACATGGCCGGTGCTGAGTGTGTTCCCACTAACCACCGTGGTCCCTGCAACAAAGAACTTGATGGCACAACCTGCCGCATCTTGCCGCAGGCCTGCCAGGATGAACGTAGCACGGACAACAAAGAAAACAACATTGATGTTGGATTCTGTGGCATTTCGATTTTCTGCGGGAGGTGCCAGTGGAAGCATCGAAATTGCTCTTCGCCTACCTGATGGCTCCAATGTCAAAGGCTTTTTCACTGGACAGTGAAGCAGCTTCCTTTCTGCTCTAAGCGTGCTCACTCATGTCAGGTGCCTACGCGGAAGGGGCTCCGATATCGCATCTCCTGCTAGCTGCCCTGGACTCTTCTTGGGCGAAGTCCGCATTGCCTTGGGGCATCTACCTTCGTATGGCCTTTCCCAAGAAGGTGCATGTGGAGCTTGGGGATGTGTCGGTGCTTGCTTCCTGGAGGTTCTGAAGGATGGGGACGTGATCACCAAGGAGCTCCACAGAAGTATGCTGAGCGTCCAGGAGTGCCAGAGGATTTCTGTGCAGTGCGGTCGGAGTCTGAAGAGCTGCGAAGAGTGCAGGAGGAGGAGGCACCCGAAGATGAGGAGCTGTTGGCCGTCTTGTCAGACCCACGAAGAAATCATGGGCGAGTTCTGCTTTTGAGGCGGCCAGCCTCGGTGTAGCATGCCCTGCAGCGGCGCTTAGGAACGGACGCCTGCAGGGACGAGTGACGAACCGGAGGCCTCAGCCACCGGACGTGGGCTGCGAATGGCGCGCAGTGAAACGCGCGGAGGCCTTGAGCCCACTGCCCATGCCGGAGCTGGATGAAGCAGCGCTGATGGCAAGGCACAGGCTCTGCTGGCTTTGGTAATTCCAGGGTCTGTACTGGCCACAGGACGCAGAGGGCCTTCGAGGTGCAGCGCCTTATGCGGGCCGGTTTCAATCAGCAAGAGGCGGGTGCTGAAACCATGTAGAGCTTATGGCAGCCTGCCAGTTGCCACGCTGCAGGCCGAGGAGAAGTTCTCAAAAGGTGAGGTTTTGCCGCCTTCTGATGCATCCAGGTGCAGCGCATTGGTATGTGCATTTGTTGTCCTAGCGGGAGTCGCTACAGCACCAACAGTATCCCCGCCCAGTCCGAAGCTTGGAGCTTTAAACGTCACGTTCTGCGCGGCCGGCAAAGCTGCTCTCCTTGTTTGCAGGCGTCCGGAGCCGCTTCCGCCGGCCGGGCCGGCTGCGGCACCCATACCACGCTTGGAGCGCACGCTGCTGGGCGGACTTGGTTCGGGAATGTTCAAGAAGCACTTATGTTTAGCTGGGCCTGGCCTGCAAGTCACTTTGTCACAGTGCTTCAGCGTTGGAGTCGGAAGGTCTAGGCTAGTCACCAGTCGAGACTTGTAACTGTGTAGACTAACGAAGTCAAAACTTTAGGCCGCGTGTGATGTGCGAGTCGTCGGAGTCGGATCGTGGGGAAGTAGCTGGGGCCACCTTATCTGACTCCAGGCTGTCGGAGGAGGAGGAACGCCAGCGAAAAATCGAGGTGGTGCTTGAGTTGCCTGAGGTTCTGATGTTGCACTGCTGTGGAGTGCTTTGTGTGCTCTTTTTGCGAGGTCGTGGTAAGCTTCACAGGAGTGGATGCAGCTGTGGCGCAGGTAGCGCTGGAGGATGCCAGCTGGATAACTGATCGGGCGATAAACACCTTGCTCGACAACCTTGCTGCATGAATCAGTGCGCAAGTGTGGGCTTTTCGGGGCCTTGCCATGCTGGCAAATCATTCTTCGGCTTGTCTCACTGATCGTTTACCCCATCATTTGAAGGCAGAAAACATCGTGGGGCGACAGCAACTAAGTGCCTACAATGCCTGCATGTTGTCGAGCAGTGCCAGGCCTCTCGCCCATCTTATGCGAAGCTGAGCGACGGGCGGATATGAGCACACGCCTGATTCGCGATCGCGATCTGCTGAGCTGTTGCTTCGTTCATTCTGTTGTGCCGTTAGGTACCTGCGCGTCCTTGCTTCGAAGAACAAGGGCGCTGGCAGAATCGCCGGGTCTCTACGATGCTGTGCAAGGCGACGGCTGCAGGTTTCCACAGGCCCTCGTGTAAGTGTTTTGTTTGGTGTCCCAGGTCTGTCTGCCAGGCTGCTGGCCATCTCCGGCTGCGCTTCTGTCGCGTTGCAGGTTCTGTGGCCGCCTCAAAGCTGGGCTGGGGTGCTTACAGGCCTGGCCTCTCTCGCATCCGAGGGACCAGTGCAGTCCAGAAGATGCCTTGGCTGCAGCCTTACATCAAATGTTTCCGACTTGCCTGCTGGATATGATAAATCACATCATCCGATCTGCCTGGTGTACGTGTTGCACCCCGCACTTCCCTGCTTTTCCAACAATGCCGTGAGCGTCCCTTCAAGTACGGTTCTCCTTGTAATCCTTGCTTGGTATGTGTCGTTTCCCTGAAAACACATGGCCGGGACGGAATCTGCCTTGTATGAACCTTGCGGAGTCGAGCTTGACATTTGCGCTGCATGGGTCAAGTCTTGTCGCGAGAGCAGCGAGCATGAGCATTCGCGTCTCAGCAAGGGGTTTCAACAGCAGCTGCGGCTCTGGCATAATGGCACCCTCCTTCTCAGATTGCTGTTGTATGGTTTGCAAGCTTCGCTGTTGTGCCCCTGAACATGCACTCATACCAGCGTGGTGCTTGCGAGGCGCGCGGTGTTCTCGCGGCTTGTGGGGGTGAGCTCCCGATGCTGCGTGGAGACCTGCATGCCGGCAACAGTCCTTTAGCAAGTGGGCTGGTGCCCAAGATTTTCGCAAAGAGGTGCGACTCGACGTGAGAACTTGCCGTGTGACAGGTCAAAACCTGCTTTGGCGATGCAGTACGTACTTCAGAGGACAGATGCAGGTCAGGCTGACAAGGCAAGGCTGAAAGTTGAAAGTGCTGCCACGAACACTTCGTGGCCCTTCGTGGGGCATCTCGTCCGATCTCTTGCTGTCAGGTGCTCGTGGCCTTGGAATCCTTTGCTTTACAGGTCGTGGGAAGTGGGAGCTGCAGGAGGGGTGCAAGAATGGTGCGTCGTGCCGGCGCAGCATTTTCTGGCTCGTGCTTGTCCCCTAAACCCTAGTGATTGCACCTGATTCCTGAAGTCCTGACCCGCCATGCTCCGTCGCGCAATGAGGTGTGCTGCAGCTTAAGAAGCAAGTAAAAGCACGGCAGCATCTTACGGCTTTCACGGTAATGCTTTTTGCATAAAGCGACATCATGCCGATGTCCATGCGGATTCGTCTTCCGGTGGTAGTGGCTCCTTGGCTGTTATTAGGCGTCTGGCTTCGCAATCGGCAGCATCAGCCTTTTGCTGCGAAGGTGTCATGCTGGCTTCGGCATGTCACCAGCGGTTCGAGCACAACGATGATTCGTATTCTCGGCATGACCTGGCCTTGGTGACAAGGCCCACCTTAAGCTGCTCGAGCATCGCAGGTAAGGAGGATGCGCTGCCCGGTCGGCAGGAGCCTTTGAAGGCGTGAGAGCAAAGCGCCAGTCCGTCTCGAGTTTGTGATGGCCTTTGCGAGCTCAGAGGTGAGTGCAGAGCATTATGTGCTCGGGACACCTATGAAAGGGCCTTGGCCCGAAGGCCGAAAAATAATGTCGAGCGAGAGACTGCACATAGCATTGCCCTGGTGCGGAATCCTCGGGTTCAGGCATGTCAAAGTTTGTATTTGCCAACGGCCCCTCGGCAAGCTTGACATGCTGCTCCAATGCTGCTTTCGCTCTGCTGTGGCCATTCTCATCTTTGGAGGCTGCTTTTGGGGGAGCGAGAAGGGAATATGGCGCTTGCCTGCCGGAATCTTCTCGACGGCTGTGGGTTATGCTGCAGGCTGCCCATGATGCTAATTCCTCGCTGAAGATACTTGATGGCGTTGGCTTCCCACGCTGGCTGGGAAGGCTTTACTCCCAACCCGACCTATGAAGAGGTGGTGCAAGTTTGAGGTTTTGGAATGCAAGAGATGCGCATCCTTGTCCATCCTTTCCAACAGCGTCGGAGGTTGTAACGGGCAGGACGGGCCACGCCGAGGCGACTCTGCCACAGCTCCGTGGAATGAAGTCTTTGCGATTTTCGGAGGCAGTTCAAGTCATCTTCGACCCCGCCCAAATTGATCTGGTGGACATCTTGAGATGGTTTTGGGAGGTGTGCTGAGGCTATCTGCGTTCGGTTGCCAAAGCTCTGCTTGGAATCCGGCAGGCTCACGATCCCACGCAGTACATGAGACAAGGCTTGCCGGCTTTTGTAGCATCCGAGATTTCCACAACTTTTGTGTCAGGCGCTGATCAAGGCACACAGTATCGGAGTGGCCTCAGCCCCGGTGTTCAACGGGACAGTATACGTCGACACACACGCTTTCTGAAGCAAGGCCTCTATTATTTCGATGAGGATCAAAGGGAGCTTTTCGTGGCAAGCAAGAAAGCGTACCAGGAGAACCCATGTGAACTGAAGGCTTGTGTGTGCTTTGCGACAATTTGCGGCGCCATCAGATTCGAGGACGCGCTGCAGGCGGCTGGGAAACATGGCGCGCTCCGGCTAATCCTTTGGAGTTCCCTCCGTCAAGTCAAGCGATGAGCTCCTCGCCGAGGAAATTTCCACAGAGATTCGAGCTGCGTCAGACTTTCCAGACGGTGTTTTCTGGTACGCCGAGGACGGCCCCCACGGCTCACGGTAGGCACATTCATCCACACGTAATGATGTAATGTGCTTGAAGGACTGGCACCAGCAGTGGCTCGAATCCCGATAGTTTAGACTTGTGAGGTGACGTCAAAGCAATTCAAGTTCCAAGCATGTGCAGCAAAACCTGCAAGGTATTTGGCCAAGCCAGGGTCACGACCCTACTGCTCCGCCATGCCACAGGAGGTCTCTCTTCCTCCGTTTTCTGAGCGACAGCCTTAGAAAGCCATGGAGCTGGCTGCTTGAACAGCAGTCGTTTGGCAAGGTGGGCGACCCCATCTCTGGCTGCCAAGTCTCGGGCCCAATCGTAGTGAGAGGTCTCACTTGACTTTTCCTTGTTTCATGGGCCACTAAGTGACTCAGGTTCTGGCCAAAGCTCCCAGAGGCATCCTGGCAGCACCTAGACGACAGCCTTTTCCGTGAAGTGCTGCGGTGCGGAGAGGCTTTCTGGAAACAGCATGGCCGCATCCTCGGTACACGTAGCACAGTGGCATCATCCTGCCACTTCTCTGTGAAGCCATGCCAAGAAACGATCCGGCTTTCGACTACGTAACAGCCTGCGCTTGGTGAGAGTCGAAACCCTCGAAGCCTTGAAGCAGCCCCTAAAGCCTAAACGTGTGTCGCCGAGTTGTGAGAATCGAAACTCCCTGCCGCAGGTCCCGCTCCTCACAGCGTAGTGGAATCGCCAGACTCTCCAATTGACTCTTGGATGCGGGCAAGACGCAGATACAGGTGACAACAAGCGTGAGCTTGCTGGCCCTAACCCTGACCTCCCTCCAAGCTCTAAGGAGTGGAGCCAGTTTTCGACAAGGATTGCTGAGCATGCTGAGCTATGAAGGGTGCAGGCAAAAAGCACCATCTCCACATCAAGCATGCAAGGTGCGATATCTGACCTGCTGTTGTGTTGGCCTATCGTTCTGATTACTGGCACGATGGCTCCTTTCACCCAACTTGGGCAAGACACGTAACACACGCACAGAGACGCTAGACAGCCCGGCCGCAGCACACTGGTGTTAGTCAAAGTCGTGGATCCTAAACATCTTGCGCATGATATGGTAAGTTGAACACATTGAACGAGCTTACCGCAACTTCTCCTACTTCCTGCAGAGGGTAGTTTGTGGCTACTGCTGCAACCAAGTGAAAGAGCGTCGCTGCACTGGAATGAACTCGTGGTATCGCTTGAAACGTGACTTAAGGTATTAAATTCACCTGCGATTTGCGCTGGATGGCTTGCCATGCAACATGTCCATCATGCAGCATCAGGCAAAGTCACAGCTGCTTGGCGATGCAGGGGTTTCATCGTAAGAGACAGTCGAGCATACATCTTGATGCATTTTGTGGCTGTAGTGTTAATTCACGGCACTACCCCGAGGCCCGTGAGAATTGGGAGCTCATTCCATGTCTTTTTTTTCTGGACGCTGTGACTCTGTGACAACACTACTGTATGGCCTTTTAGGAAGTCGTGTTCCCAGCAGCATGATGCACATTTTGGACTCATGGGGTGCGAGCCTTAGGGGTTCTCCTTGTCCTTGGGTATGCAAGGCGTGGACTGCCGGGTGCTGTTGAACTGTTTGGGGTCTACGCAGTCTTCCCATGCTGTGTCTGTGCTGTGACTGCAGCAAGCCACAGAGCAAAAGAAGCAGGACCTGTTGATCACGAAAGCCTCAAAAGTCCCGGTTCGTCATACCTGCTGCCAGCTGGCAGCCTGCTCTCAGGCAAGTTTTCTTGCCGCCTATCTGCACTCAGCATGCACAATTTTGCTGCGGCTTACTGTTCGGACGTGACCCGGTGGATACTAGTTCGTGTTGGCAGCTTGCGGAGCTTCCGTTCAGGATGTCTTGAGCTGCGAGCCGCCTGCAGCAGAGGCCATGCCCCAAACTAGCCATGCGAAGGATGCGACACCATGCCATGTCTTGAAGCAGGTTGTCTTCGCCGCGGGCTTTGCAGGCTGCTGCGGAGCAGCGCAAGCATGCCGACAGAGCTGGTACCTCTCTTTGCGGCCATTGCTATCCAGGCTTTACCCGCCTTTTGGCTTAGAAGAGAGGGTTTCAAAGAATTAGCTTCCAACTTCCTTAGCCCCCACTCCTGTGTTTCAAGGCATCGGCTATGTCTGCTTGGTGGGGAAATCGTTGAGAGCCCTTCGGCCTTTCGCGCCTCTGCCCGCGTCCTCGGCCGAGTTCACAGCCTCGATGCGAGCACCTGGGTCCGGAAAGTAGCTTTCGGAAGAGAAGAGGCAGGGAGGGGGGAATCACGGAAGCATCCCTTCCGCTGAGGCTGCGAAGTGGCAGCCTCCAGGGGGCTGTTTGGCAGCAGTCATTTCTGTCTCCAGAGGAGTCCCGGGGCCAGGATACGGAAAATGTTCGGAAGAGTCTAAGGTCGGTGGCGTGGCTGCAGGAACTGCCGATGCCCAGTTGTAGATCTTTCATGGCGGTGCTGGCCTGTGGAGTCAAAGTGCAACTTGGGCGCACTTTGGTGATTCACTTCGCTTTTCATGCACTGCATCTAACTCCAACGGGTTGTATTCCACATCGGTCACACTGGCTTCTTGCGAGGTATGTCTTGGGTGGTCAGCGTCCAAGCAAAGCTCCCTTCAAGCTTCGACACCTTGGCTTTTACCCGCTCGCCTCCTTCGATTGCTTCGATGCGGACGTGCAGGTACGGTGGTGGATGCGTGGTAGTGGTTGTGATGATGGGCGTGAAGGTGGCAGAGATGCCGGGGCTGATGATGGGATGAAGATGACGGTTGCCTTGCCGAGTAAGTAGTCGTGAGATGAAATATGAATCTGTTGCCTCGGCTGCTGATCATGGCGTTGTGGATCATTGTAGCGACGATTTTTGGTGATGACGATGGTGGCAATGATCAGTGTGATTTAACAGAGCTCTGGCGAAGCCAATGTTGAGGATGCTCGCAATGGTGACGGTGACAACGACGACGACGACGACGACGACGAGCAGTATGTGCAGACAATTCTGGAAATTCTCATGACCTGCTTTATCAGGTCAGGTATAGTGCGTTCACACGAGGCTCTCGACATATGCACATATAATGCTGACAGTGCGCTTGATGATGCTTGTGCTGTGGCCGATTGCGATGAGGGAAGGCAATGGCAGTGGCACGATGACGATACTGCTAGTGCTCGCTGATCTATCTTTAGGTCGGCACTCGTCGTGGTGTTGGTGGAGTCTCGCTCAGCTGAAGCCGGCTGCATCAATAAAGTTTGTCGTCGTCGTGGTGATGGTAGCGTTGTGCGGCCAGGGTCGTAGTTGCACTAGCTGTTATTCTCGGAGTTGTTGTTATCGTTGTTGCCGTCGGGAATCGATTGGAAGTGGTAGTTGTGATTGACCAAATAGCCGTTGCAGTCGTCGTGGAGGAGTAACAGTAGCACAGTAGCACAGAAGCAACAAGGCGACATCTTGTGCAAACGCTAGCCAACAAATCAAAAGCACTGGCACAACCAAGCAACCGGAAGAGAACAAAAAAAAGGACACTAGGGGATAAATGGAATATGAATGATACACTGGGTAACAACAGAAACTAGCAAACACGTTCACAAATCATAAGCTAAACATACGAACACATGGGAAATAGACTTGGAAAGTGGGAAGAACTAAGAGAAACCCACGAGAAAATAGGAAAATAGGAGAACCAAATGAACGTAGGCTAGAGTTTGACCTTGGAGAGCAGACTTGAAACAAAACAGCAGAGAACAACATGGAAACACAGGAGCAACACTAGGACAACTGAGAGAACACATAGGCGCAACATAAGAGAAACCCGGCGGTAGGGAAACCATAGGAGAACAAGAAGAGACCAGAAGGAAACAACTCACTCGTCGCTTAAATTACCCGCAGCCGCTGAGAGTGTATGCGCTTTCATTGGAATGCCCTAGGGAAAACGCTCATGAAGTGGTGGTGGGCAGGCCTCCGAACCTTAAACTTTAAGTCTTACACATTTGGAATTGATTTCGTAACATTTGGCTTTGGCAGGCCTGGAGAGACACAAATCGTGTGCAAAACAGAAGGCACAACTGATTGCGGTGGCCTTATTGCATACATACACACACACATACATACATTCATATGTTACATGCATGCATACATAATAAATAAATACATGCATACATACATACATACATACATACATACATGCAAACATCGGATGTCAACTCTTTCTTCGTCGAGTCCCTTGTGAAAAGATATGTCTTTCTTCTGTGCTGCAAGACGTCGCAGCATGACATGGTCCTGACAAGCTTAGAAATCCAAGCTGAATTCAGTATCCCACGTGTGCTCTCTCGTGTATACTTGTTGCACTCTTTTGAGTGGTGTCAATTCGGGCGGAGAATCTGTCGTGTGCCAGGCCTGGGAAAGCCTGCAACCAATGCCGACGGCGAGGCGTGGTTTGGCAGCCACCTTTGTGGATGGCTACATATACGTGTCAGCCTGAGCTGTGTATTCAGAAAGTCTAGAGATGAAGGAAGGAAGGAGAGAGAGGGAGAGAGACGCATTGGTGTAGCATACTCGGTACTCTTGTGCAGCTGTCAGTGGTGACCCCAAAGCCGTCCACTCAATTAAACAGTGAGTGGTCGGGCGGGCCAATGCCCTGAGGGTCGAGCGATCGACCCCTAAGCCCTGCAGAAGGAAAGCAAGAAGAGACGCATTGGTTCAAGGCAGCTGGCGGATCAAACTGCACCGATCGGCTAAACGTGCTGGAGCGCTACAGCTCGAAGCATGGTTGGGAGACGCGGCCTGGCGGAAGGTACTCGTAACTCCTGTGGTTGGGTCTCCTACAAAACATGAACTCGACGTGCTCGCATGCTCTCAACCCTAAGGATGCCGCCTCTGCCGACTGCTAGGGAAGGCTTGGCGTTGGTGAGCCTGAGCCAACGCCTCTTCGCCCCTTGGCGGCCCAAGGAAGGGGAACGGGCTCTCTCTCTCTCTCTCTTCTTCTTCTTCTTGAGAGCTCGCTTCCGAAAGAGCTGAGGCCATCGGAGGTTTGGGTCTGAGTGGCGCCCCTTTGAAGGACGTGGAGGTTTTCGAGCCGCCAAGTCGTTGGACCAAGCGCCTTGTCTTGGAGCACATGCGTCCTGACTATGTCTGTCTCCTCATCGGCCGAAGGCTCAGCAGCATGCCACATGCCTTTGGCAACTGCTCGGCGGTTTCGTTTGGTGGAAAGATCTACGTCTTTGGTGGCTATTCAGGCAGGGAGGGCATGCGCCGTGTGGACTCGTAGCACGGACAATCAGAACAATTTGAAACGTAGGGGATGTAACATGCATCATAACAACACAGGCCGATGGGTTTGTTGCTGTAGCCAGGCATTGGCAGTGAGGAGGCCTGGCGACAAACTGCTCTTCAGCAGCTGCTCAGATGCATGACGCCACACCTTTGAAGCCGAGCTGTACCCAGAGTCCTGATTCGGTACTTGTTGCATGGCTCGCGTTCGGCTGTCCTGTCTTATTGTGACATGTTGAGCTGAAGGGTTTGTTGGTGTTGGCTCGTTTGAGAGAATCAGTCGATCAAGGCTGCATGGCGCTCACGTTCGCCTGTCTTGTCTTGTTGTGACATGTTGAGCTGCTGTTTGTTGGTGTTGGTTCTGATTCTGTTTGGGAGATCAGTGGATCAAGATCAACAGCTTTCGTCCTGTGCAGGGTGAGTCTCATGGGAGCAATTCGATACGAGTGTTTGCCGCCAGGCTGCTGTTGTCAGATTGTTAGCATGTCATGATGTCCCGGGCGGTGTGAGAGAGTGGAGAGTCTGGAGAACTCAAGCTCAAGAGATGTGCTATCGGGGTACTTTGAATGTGCGATTTTGCTAGTATTGCCCTGGGCTCGTTTTGGCCATTTCTTGCATGGGAAAAAGCCAACCGTGCTGCATTGCGGTTGCTGTCAAGAGAATGTTGCTATGAAGCCTTGTGCGAGGTTCGACCCGCAGGAACAGTGCTGGCATGCGCTCGGTGGTGCAGCCCTTCCACACCCGCGGTGGGGGAGTGCTGTCGCGCTAGATGCCGAGGGCCGTCTCTTCGTGTGCGGTGGCTACAAGGATGGACGGCCGAATGTCAGGAAAAAGTGCTTTTCAACACGTGGCGAAATGGCGTTTTGCAGATGCCCTGAGTTTCCGGAAGGAGCTTCGTGCTAGCCGTCACGTGGAAGTGCTGGACCTCCGTCGGCCCCACAAGGGCTGGCGAACTGGGCCGTGCCTTGTCCGGTGAACGGTCCGAGTCTAACCTCATGGCTACATCACCTGTGACCCGCCGAGGATGTTGCCTGGTGCTTGCGCTGGTTGCAGTGCAACCTCTGTTCGTCTGCCCGGCTTCTTGCGGTACCTCAGAACCGATTTGAAGGGCTGTCCCAAGCTGCAGTGTCTCTGGTCTGTGTGCGAACAGAGACACCCTTCGACTGTAACACCATGAGAGCAGAACCTGCTCCGTGACCTCTTTGGGCCGGCCTGCAGTCACTGAGGTGACTGGTCAAACCGCGCACTGGTGCAAGTTCCAAAAACCTGGGAGACCTTGTAGCATTACAGTGAAGGAGCTTTTATGGCTGCTTGCAGCCAATCTCCAGTAGATTTAAAGCCCAGTGCTGTGGAGTGCTTAAGCATTCTGCAGTGTGTTGACTGCAGTGAATGGCCTTTGGAACCGTGATTGGCAGTTCCCGGGTAAGTGATTTGCTTCAGATCCGGCAGCTCTCGCGTAGAGCTGCCTCTCGTTCTTGCATTCAGGCACAGATTGCAAGCTTTGCTTAGCGACTTCAGCGCCCCGTCCTAAGCCTCGACCAGATGCTTCAAAAGGCCGAACCGACCACAGCCACTTTGCCATGCAGAACAGACGAAGTCTGGTGGCGAACACCGCCTGCGGCAGAGTTCCTGTCTTCCCACTTCGCGGCGAGCGGTAGGACTTGTGGCTGATGGCTTTGAAAGCACAAAAGCGGCAAAAGTGCCAGTCCTTGGAGTCTGGGTGAGGGCAAGGGCGCAGCAATTGGAGGTGCTGAAGCCGTCGAGGCAGTGGTTCAAAATCGCTGGCGGAGCCAAAGCCAGAGTGGTGCCGAGCCCATGTTTATCCATGAATCCTGAAACCGTCCTAAACCCCTCTCCAAGTTCCAGCCCCCCTTCTGCTCCCGGAGGTGGAAGAAGCCTTGCAGCTGGCTCCGAAGACTGGAGCCCGAGCCCGAGCCTCCCAGGAGCAAATCGCCGGGACTCGGACTCCCCGAAGCTGGAGGCGTCTTTGGAGATCGGGACCTATGTGGGCGGCCGTCTCAGCTTGGGTGTCCATTGGAAGGAGGCCTTGAAATCTCTTCGTTTTCTTACGCCCTCTGACATGGCTCAATCGTTGTCGGCATGCTAGCGGTAAGTGTTGTGAAACAAGCACATGTCACAGTTGCCGCGAAGCATCAGCAGCACCACAAGAAGGGTTGCAATCTTGGCATGGCAACAACGAGAGAAGCCGGTGGCCTGTACGGGAAGTCCAAGCCCACAAGCGGAAAGAGCTTAACCAAAATAAAAATGCCAGCTGCAGTCCATCCAGCGATGAGGAAGAGCCGTTTGACTCTCAAGGCTCTGGGCTGTCAGTCGCGTCGAGATTTCACGCATCCCCAGCCTCGTCCACATGTCCAGGATGGCCGATCTCGGCGCCTGGGACTTCTGCTGCTCGCGCTTTCCGGGCCTTTAGCCGCGGTGACTGGGCAGAGCGAAGCCGTGATGAACCCGCAGAGTACAGCCAGAGTACCTGCAGGACAAGCTCCCCTCAGCCTCTGTGTGGTGACGCTGTGACCGCTTGAGGTTGGCATGGCAGGGCCGCCCCAAGCACAGCCGAGTTGGGGTCGGCGCATCTGGCTTTGCCTGCTGGGCCCGAGTGTGGGTGTGGCCTTGCCGGAAGTTGCACAAGCTGATGACGTGACGCTCGGCGAAGATTGATGTTTGGCACAGAGACCTCTGACAAGCGCACCCGGCGCAATGCTTCCTGAGAGGAAGCGCTACAGCAAGGTGAACTCGGCACCGAAGCTGAAGCGTAGAAGCTGCATGCGTGCTTGTCTTCCGTGCCCGGAGTTTGCTCTCTGTGATGCACCGGTTCTTCGCCGTGAGATTTTCAGTCAGGTGATTAACTCGTACACGGAGAATGCCGGTGTGGCCGGTCAGAACAACAAGCAGGTTGCGGCCTACGCCGATCTGGGTGAGGCAGGGATCCGCGTTGAGGGCCCCTCAGCCCTCTTGGAGTCATCGTCGCTCAGGGGCTCAAAGCGGCCACCATCTACAAGCCGAAGTTCGAAGACGGAGATCCGGATGCTGCAAGGAAGGTAGAAAATGGTGACCTTGTGACTGTGGATATGCTTCTTGGCTGGTTTAGCTGCTTAGCTTCAGGCTTCACGCCAGCAACCGCAGACTTGAAGCACGTGTTTCGAGCCCTTGCGGAAGCTCAGGATTGGTTACTTGACGGGTTGGAACGGCAACATTTTCCTCCGAACTCAGGACCCGTCGGGCGTGGATGGTTAGGGATTCTCGCTTGGCAAGCCTGGTGCCGTGCATGGCTCATGGAGCATGTCGGTTTTGACGCGGCATCAGGACAAAAGCGGCTTTTCAGAGAAGCCGGTGACCTTCAGAGTTGGACGCGGTGACGCGATTCCTGGGCTGGACCGCGGAGTGGTTGGAATGTTGAAGGGCACCTAGGCTGCCTGTTTCGGCTTGAGCCGCGGTCACCGGCATCTTGAAATTTATGCGCATTCCTGCGTCCTGCATGAGGTGAAAAGCGGCGGTTGGTGATTCCACCTGCGCTAGGGTCGGCTTCTCATTGCCTTGACCAGCAGCATGCTGCGGTTTTTTGCGCAGCCCAGGTACCCACGTCCGTGCAGTGACGAGCAGCTCGGGAAGCCTGGCGGTATTCCAGACCCTCGCGAGCAACTGGGAAGCAGAACAGGACATGTCCATATTCCGCCACTGACACTTTTGTGTTTCTGAGGTCTGCGTCAGGCTCTGGTGAGCCTTGGGAGCTGAGGAACCGCCTTCTGCAGTGCGCTGAGTACTTACCATGCCAAAGTCAGGCAAGACCGCACCCAAGCGATGAACAGAAAGCCCTCTATTTATGCTTCTCGCAACACTTGAGGAATGGTGTCCTCAACAACGCACGGGACGACACTCTCGTCATAGATGTCAAAATCAACAGGATCACCAGCTGAAAAGGCTTGCCGCAACTTGGAGCAATATGCTCCTTTCGCAGCCTAGTTCTGACAGAGAAGAGCCGACAACGTGGCTTCTTCGACGTTCTCTTATGTCATCGGTCTGAGCGCATGAGTCGGAAAACCACTGATGCAACACTTTTTGTGGAACGTCGCTTCCAGCACTTGCTGTAACACTCGGCTCCAACTTTCCTTAGCTGTGGGCCGCTTTTGCTTGTGGCTGCTTTCCAGGCTTTACCGCCATTCGCTTTGCCCGGAGTCGCTTTGCCGGCCTGGTTGCATTGCCCGGCTAACGCAGGAAATTTTCTTGTGGTAACACGCAGCACGGACAGCATCGAGGATTCAAGCTTCATGGTGTGGACATGTGCAGTGGGCTCAACCAGCATGTAGAATCCGAATGTGACCCAAACTGTGGCCGTCTCTCTGCATGCCTGGACTCGTCCTCAAAAGTTACCCAAAACAGTGCATCCTTGCAGTGCTCCTCGTTCGGGCTTGGCCGTTGCAAAGGCCCGCCAACCAACTGGTCACACCATGCTGATCTTCTCAGAGATTTAGGGCATGGGCCACCGTGGCATCGGTCTTATTTTGCATCATGGACCTCTCCAACTGTGATCCGGACGTCAGAGTTTTCCTGAGGCGAGCGAGCCCGGACATTCTGGATGATTTGGAGCAGGATCATTCGTCGTGGGACTTGATGCTGTTGTCCTCGTGTCTTTTCCACAGTCATACAGGAGCAGCTTGCCTCGATGAGAGTCCACGAGACTCTTTATCGGCGCGTGATGCACCTCCGTACCCCAGAGATTCGAAAGCTGCAAGACGCAGACTACATGTTCCTTGGACGGAGAAAGGAAGAGGTCGTCGGCCCAGTAATTGTGCCAGTGCCCTCTTGGCCAGGAGAGAGCACGGCTACTCTGTGCTCGCCTGTCCGTTGAGCGAAGACTTGCCCTTCTCGGGCCAGGGCTCCTTACGAGGGCATGTTGCATGGGTGACCCGGCATCAGACGAGCTTTACTTTGCTTGTCGCAAGCGCTCAGCTTGCTTGAAGTGGATGCATCGGCTACGCTGGGCGCAGGTGTACTCGGAGCCGCGGCAAGAGAAGCGCCTCTGGAGTCTGGACTGCATGGATTCCTGCTGGAGTGCGCCTGACTTGGGGATCAGCACAACAAAGGCCCGCTCTGCAAAGTATCGGCATCAACTTGGAGGATTTCCATGTGGTTGAAGTCAAGCCGGACTCTTGTACCTTGTCCATGCAATGGTCATCAGACTCTAAGCTCACACTCTGGAGCATGTCACGTGTGTCTTAGATTCGCTCCAGGTTCTAGTTTCGAGGCAGAGCTGTTCCTCACTTCTGGTCCTGTCTTCCGCTGGGACACGGATGTGCACAGTCCCACAGAGGAGAGCACTGCAGTTGTCATGTCCAGCTGTTGAGCGAATTGCAAGACAACTTGTATTCCAGGCCATTCAACTCAGAGGGTGTACCTATTGGCCCTGGGCCGGGCGTCTTGAGTCTGAGGGTACGGAAAAAGGAGCTCGTGCAATCATGTCATAGCTGCGGGCTTCCTGAACTGTTGCTTCCTCATGACCCTTCTGTATATTGCTTTGCAACCTGCTGGGCTCACATGCCAGAGATGCGGTGCATGATGCATAGACCGTAGACCACGGCGCGTAAATAGCAGCGTCCCTGCCTGAAGCTATGGACTCGGATGACCAGAAGGCGCCACACGTGGTGGTAGTGAAGAACACATTCATTGACCTCGATGATGCTCCCAGAATGCCAACACTCGCCCGCGTGGCCACCACACCAGCAAGATACGTCGAGTCCTCAAAAGGCATCGAGCATGATACTGACGAGGAGGCGTCGGAGGAGGATACCGGTGGCCAGGTCGAGGAGGGTACTGATGCACCACCACCACCGATGCCCGAGCTCTACCGGGTAGCCACCTACGACGAGTATGAGGCAGAGACAAATTGGGCATGGACAGTCTCTTCTCCAACGCCTGACAAACCAGCGGCTGGATACAGCGGCTCGGCGCCAATTCCCAGCCCAATTCCAATCCCAGCACAGCCAGTGCCTGGCACTGCTACCATTGTCGTCGTGCCTGCACCCGGAACGATGCCCATGGGGGGGTCTCCTACTCCTGTGCCAATCCCACACGGGATGGCGCCTCCTCAGCGATTTGATCGATGGCCGCAGGGAATTCCGATGCCCACAATGACAAGCTTGCCAGAAGAACCCCGAGAGGCTTCAACCAGCCCAAGACCAGCAGACCCGCCCGCCCCAGCAGCTCCACGTGCACCAGTGCTGCAGCGGGCCTTCAGTGTCAATAGTCGCATCTTCCGAATCCACTGGACAGTGGATGCCCGGGTCCTGAAGTCGTCTGACCGAGAGAAAGTCTCTCCACCCTTCGAGGTTTCTATGGATGGTCAAGAAATTCAGTTCAAACTTTGCCTGCGCCCTTCCTTGACATCAGAGAGCCGCGGAGGGGCCTCCTTCCGAAAGGCAAAGGGCAAGGGCTCCGTGGACATGCGCTGCCTGAGCGAAATCAGCCGCAGTTGTGTAATGACCTTCCGAGTCGCAATCGGCAAGGGCTCCGAGTCACACAAAGTGTCACGAACCATGAAGCACGACTTCTCGCAGAAGCCGATCTGCCAGTTAGAGGGTGATGACGAGTGGGACTTCAAGACAGTGACCGACGAGGAGAGCCAGACCTTCGTCGTGGTGTTAGAGGTCTGTGGAGGCTGAGAGTAGTTCGAGGAGTTCATTGTTTCAATTCAGCGTTGGCTGTCGGCTGGACCAGTCCACCGTGCAGAAAGATGGGTCGCTGTAGGAGAGCTCTTTGTTGGCATCCATCTTCTAGAGTTCTCCTGGTTTCACCAAATATGTTCAAAGCGCAAGCCACCAGCAGCGTGCAGCAGCAAGAAACGATGCGCTTCGAAATTTGAGGGGATTCGAACGCATTGCCGTCCTTGTGCACGTGGGAGACTCGTCTGCCAGGCAGGGAGGGGAGAGCCGGAGCCTTGCCGTGACATCCGTACGAGGTTTGGCCTTGGGATTTGGGCTATTTTGGGCTCCCTGTGTTCAGGTCATTACTATCGAAGTCGAGCCAGAGCATGCCGTGGTTGCCCAACGCAGCTCGCAGCAGATTATCCTCAGCGCTTTGTCTGAGTGTCCCGGGTTGCCGAGGACTGGCCTTCCACGCAGGTGTGAGTCACAAGGCCAGACATCCTGGAACAGCTCGTGTCATCCACGCGTCACCTCGACGAATTTCGGATTTCGTCTCTTTGGCCACGTGCGGCGACCTTCTCGTCTCAAGGCAAGCCTCACTTGTAGCTGCAAGCTCTTCGCAACTCCTTCGCGGCTGTGTCCAAGCTTCCTCTTCGGCAATGTAGCTACTGAGCTACTGGAAGTGCAAAGAAATCGGAGCGTGGGCTGTCAGGCGGAGGGTCTGATCTGTGGTTCAACCCGAGAGTTTCTTGCAGCGCACCGCATCCGCGATCAATGCGCGGCTGCATCCAGTTCTTCGTTGGGACAACGAGAAACCTACGACGCACGATGTAGATCCCTCTTCATGTCTATATGCCTCGCAGAACAAATCGGAAGCATGATGTCTGGCACGCGGCATTTCTGCCTTGCCTGGCAAGCCACTCGAGTTGCTTCAATCACGGTGCTTGGCGGGGCGTATTTTCCGAGGACAGAGGTTTTGAAAGGGTGGAGATTTTCGAGCCTGGTTGGTCGACAGTCGCGGAATCGGTCGCACCGCTGCTTGACATGACTGTGCTTAGGGTACCCGTAACTAGACTTTAGCACCGACAATCGCAGTCACGCCCACAGTTCTGGCCTTGCACGTGACACCCGCTGCTTGCAGGTTGATGTTTGGACTGGGCAAAGCTCCGATGTTCTCCGCAGCCTCGAAGACCGCTACCCTGGTAAGTGCCTCAGGCAAGCAAGAAAGGTCATAAGTTTATAGATAGCTAGCTGCTTTCTACCGGGACCCACGACTTTACTGCGACTCGCAACCGTGAGGTATGTGCATGGGTGTATATAACTAAATAGCTAAATAACTAAATCAATAAACAAACAAAAAGTGTGTATATATATATATACACATACACATGTGACATCAAGCCACCACCCATACTTAGGTGAGACGCCACAATTTGCCTTGGTCTTCATGGACCAGTGTGGTGAATGCCCAAGTGTCATTCCGGTTGGTTGCATGCATTTGCACGGTCGCAGACATCTTGCTGAAGGCTCGCGCTTCTGGCAAGATCTCGAGATCCTGCTAGAGAAGGCTGGCTGCCCATGTTTTCCGAGAAGCATGTATCTGGAGACGTGCAACACGCACGACAGGACTTGCTGCTTCCGGGGGCAGTCATCCTGGCTGCTTGCCAAGACATTGAGGAGCATGAATTGTTGGGTGTGCTGACGAACCGCACACGGCATAACTATGTATTTAAGCGCCCAGGCCGACAATGTCTTGAAGCCTGGAGTGCCTGACTCAAGCGCTCAATCTGATCCGAGACGTTCCAAGACTGCCTACTGTGGCTTCTCGCTGTGATAGGCACCGCTGTTCTTGTGGCACCTCTTCCATGGACGAGGAAGCAGCAACCTTAGACGAGATGTGTTAGCAGGGCAGCGAAGTGTGCAGTGGAAGGTCGGATCTTCAGTACCGAGCTGGTGAGCTTGGAAGAGCTGCAGCCTCGAATACGCAACAGCAAAAAACCCTTCCATTCCTGCTTTCGAACCGTCAACGCCAGGTTCGCCATGGAGGGAGTAGAGGTGGGAAGCTGCATCAGGTCAGCCGCTCTCTTGCTGCTTCGCTCCGCGCAGGACTGTATGGCTGTTGCAGTGTACAAGCCTGCGCCCGCTGGCATGCTGCTCAATCGGACATGCGAGACATGCTGTCATGTGATCGGACTCCTTTGCGTAGCGGCCACGGAACTGGGTTTGCTGCTGCATGACATGTCGGTTTTGACAAGTCCCTCCCTTTGTGGTATTCGGCGAGTCCACGTGTGAGCATGTAAGTCGCATCAGATTTTGCTTTGACAACCGTCTATCTCTGACCCACGAACCTGCAAGCAATCTTGTCTCTCGTGTCCTTCACGACTCAGGCCGAACCTCCATTAACTCCCATGAGACAACAATTCCACATTGTGCTGAAAGGTCATGCTGGAATCTCTCGCGAAATCCCTGAGATGGTGCTGGACCTTGAATCGCAGGCACGGCAGTGTGCGTGTGCCACTGTCTGTATGCCTGCGCCGGTCCACGTCTGTAACTATCTGTCTAACGTTGTAGTTGTGTGTTTATCTTCCCTTATTTATCTATCTATCTATCTATCTATCTATCTGTCTATCCATCCATTACTAAACCCTTGCCGTCTATCTCTGTCTATCTGTCTACCCATCTACCCATTCCTGAATCCATGCGTCCATCCATCCGTCCGTCCCCATCCATCCATCCATCCATCCATCCATCCATCCATCCATCCATCCATCCATCCATCCATCCATCCATCCATCCATCCATCCATCCATCCACCCATCTACCTGTGTATGTATCAATGTATGTGTCTGTCTGTTTCTCCGCCTGTCTATCAATGCGTGCTTCCTCATACTTATACATGTAGGTCCTAATTCAGGTCTGCGTATGTAGTTGCCAGGTGTTGCGATGTTTTCCTATTCTTCCTTCAGTTATACTATGTCATGTTGTGTTGCGTTATGCTGCGTTATGTTATGCCACAGCCTGTTACAGAGAGATGGATGCACACACACACACACACACACCCCCACACACACACACACACACACACACACACACACACACACACGCACACACACACACACTCACACACGCACACACACACACAC